ATCTGACAAGGGCGTTGAGAAGGCCCGAAAGTATCTGAAGAGTATTGGATTAGTTGAGGTACCGTATGTCAAGGGCGTGGGTTTTTGTGTAACGAGGAAAGATACCTAAGAGAGCAAATTTTCTGATTTATTAGATTCAAATCAGTTCAGCGAAAGCAAAGGAACAAGTGATGCGATTCTTATGAAGATAGAAAAAGATATCAATAAGGAGTTGTTGGCTATAAGGAAAAACGACGAATTAAGCTGAAATCGTTGTACACGGATGAGGTTTACTGAGGAGCAGTCCACCAGTATTTATGGGTTGGCGAAGGTGCATAAAGAGAATACCCCATTGAGACCGGTCCAGTAATTGCCTGGTAGCTCTTATTATAACCTGAACAAAGTTCTTGCAAAAAAGTTGTGGGCGCAAAAATCCAAACCAACTCACTAGAAGAGAGAGAAATCTTAGAAAGCATTAGTCTTGCGCCCAATGAAAATGGGATATCTCTAGATGTCAAGAGTTTGTATACGAAGGTTCCCTTCAAAGAAGCGATAGACATAGCTCTGAGAATACTGTATGAGCAAAATGAACCAACATAAATTGCTAGTAAAAGTATGAAGAGACTGTTGCACATGGCAGGTAGTCAAGTCATTTTCATGTGCAATGAAACATGATGGTATGTTCAGAAAGATGGTTTGGCAATGGGGGCATCTCTTGCCGTTATTTTAGAAAATCTTTGGCTAAGGCAGTACGAAACTGAGCTATCAAGAGATATTTCAGATATGTTTAAGCCCGAAAAAATCTTAATGGAATAATATCTTAATTAGCGCAATAAGAAGGTCACGTATAGGTCAAAAGGCGTGGAATGGGAATGCTGTTTGAACTGGTATCACGTAAAATGCGGTGATATATCAGATGATGAGCATCGAAATATAAGTGAGGCCATCTGTTACTGTAGAAAATGCATCGCGGTAACGGAGAAAAAAAGTCCGTGCAGCAAGCAAAATTTTTTCTCCGTTTTGTTGGCGATATTGTGATAACAGTGAAAGGTGATCCTGAAAAAGAGCTACGGGCAGCAAACTTACTGCATCCAAAAACACAGTTCACAATTGTGACACCAAAGACAAATGGGGAATGGATATTTTTGGATTTACTCATTAGTATTGACAAAAACAGTACATCTAACTAGGGGTGGTATCGGAAACCAACAGATACCGGTACTATTCTAAATTTTAGAAGTTGTGCCCCCTTCAGTACAAGAGAAGTGTGATTGAGAAGTGTTCACCGGGTTTTCCGCAATACGTCAACATGCGAAGATTATTATAAAGCGATGGAAATCAACTGTAAACAGTTCTTGGATGACCAATACCCGTAAAGTTTTCGTCGCGGGTTGCATCGCAAGCCCTTGAAAAGATCAACTGGGAATGCAATAACAAAACAAGATGTCTGCGAAAATGAAACCCTTTGAGTATAGCAGCGACTCGCCACATATCTTGGTGGTTCAAAATCGGGGGAATTACAGTCCGACATTAGCAAAAAAAAGTGTGCGATATCACCAAAGCGCAGATAATACTCATGACCAGGAAAATGAAAGTTTAAATGCCCTTTTTAAAATCCTCCTTTTCCAGTGAGCTGAAATCAAAAGGGGTGTACAGACTTTAGTGTTGTGGGTGCAAATCAATATATGTTGGCTAGACAGTCCGATATTTCACCACAAAAACTGAGGAAAACCGAAAAAAGGATAAAAGGATACCCCAGTTGGACAGCATAAAGGCAGTGTGGTAGTGATAGTGGTAAGTTGGAGTTTAATTCGAAGATAATCAACCAGGCGTCCAGCAGCATTAAGTTACTTATAGTAAAGGCGCTGCACATTAGGAAAGAGAGACCGGCAATTAACACGCGCGACGAGTTTAGAAGTGGGACACCAAGGCTATATTTCCAGAATCGAAAAAATTTGGCTAAAACAAAAAAATTGAAAAAACTTAATTGTTAGCATGAAAGTCGCCAGTCGGTTTCTTAAAAACAAGGATATTGCCAGCACTCTAGGAAGGACTTGTCGAATTTTAATCCTTGAGATAAGCAAGGAAATTGCGATCAGGTACTAGACTTTTTCCCGTAAACAACTGTTCACAGTTGGAATAATTTAAATGTTAGCATGAAGGTCGCTAGTCGGTTTTTTAAAAACAAGGATATTGCCAGCACTCTAGGAAGGACTTGTCGAATTTTTACCCTTGAGATAAGCGAGGAAATTGCGATCAGGTACTAGACTTTTTCCTGTGAACTACTGTTCGCAGGATTTTCACGTCTATATGATCAATTCGTGAGGATCTTCACTTCAGGAGGATCTTTCATCGGACATGTTTAATTTCATACAACTTTAAATAAAAGAACTATCGCTTTGCTGGTAATTAGTTCAAGCCAGTTTCAGTTAATTATTTTTTCAAAGAAAATTTTCTCGGTTTTTGTAGCAATCGCCCGGAAGTACATACCGACGGAAAATGAAGCTAGGTAATGAAACGACTGGCTTGCGTCTAAACACTGCTTCACGTGCTTTCAACCGTCTCTTTCAAAGCCAGTTCAATGTGTGGTCTATTAAAAATCGGGTCGTTAAAGTCATTTTTTAAAGGCTATCGGTCAGATCACGCAATTTAACTTTGATTTATGCAAAGTTAGTGAGGTCATGGCTGGGTCTCGGAATTCCTTGACCATGATGTCACTCGTAAAAACGGCTACAACTTGATTATCCTATTATTATTGTTTTTAATCAGTAGATAAAAATCGTATAAATCGGAGATGGATCAACCCTTGCCCTCAAATCCTAGCTTCTCATATTCTGAAAATTGAATTAGTTGTTAGTTGAATTGAACTTAGGACATACCAGGAAGTTAAAAGTTGTTTAAAATGAGTTCTCAATCTCTTCCCAAAACCCTTCCAGATTCTTGAATCTGTTCGAAGAGCGGTCTTGTCGCGGTCTGGGAATGGTAGCAAAATCGTCCTATTACCCCTCCAAATCCTCGGGAATTGCTCCGTAACGATTGTAGCTGCACAATCGTTACAACTCAGAGTGTTCTGCTGTAAATGTCGTCAACTATGATTCTTGTCCGTCTTGTTTGTTCTAGCAAAATTAGTTGACTGTATTTTGCTCAGTCAACCTATTTTGCTTCATGTTATATCGACTCAGTCAGTGTTTGCGAAATTTAAAATAATACGTGTCATGCACGCCCAAATCGAAATTTTTAAAAAAAATTGTTTCGTCATTTCATATTGACCTCTCCCAAGTCGTTAATTGAACGATTAACATTGTTAAATCTTCGCAACTGCCAATTTTCCCATACGGCGGCTATCAAAAAAATTTCGAGGTCTTCATGCATTTTGACCGCCGTTCTGGTCGAATAACACATTTGCGGTTTCTGTCGGTTCAATTTTGGTTTTTAATGTGCCATTTTTATCTGATAGGGTTTTTTTTTCGTTTTTGTCTAAGACTTTTGTTACAGTTCAAACAGGTTTTACTGTAACTGCAACTTCCTAGACTTGTAAGTTTACCAAGTCTGATTTTGATTTTTGTTCTTTTTTTTTGGAATATTTAAACAGCTTCAGTTTATGTTATAACGACTCAGTCAACTTATTTTGCTTAGTTTCGAGGGCAAAATGTATCCGTGTGGGATTATGCTTTTCAGTTTGGACGGGTCGTAAAAACTTCAAATTTTGATGAAATTTTTCATGACAGCAGTTTTGTTTTCGGCTCAACGGGTTGCGACTCAAAGTTTGTGGCCTCTATTACCGCTCGGTAAATGATTTCCACTTTTAAGGTGTTTTATGAACGTCATGTGATACAAATTTGCAGTCGTTTTTACCCTTCGATTCCGTACAAAATTCTATCCTTTCCAATATAAGAAATGGCTCCGGAAAATGAAATCCAAAAAAATTGGACGGAGCCAATTTTTGACAGCGAAATTGCAGACTTGATTTTATGACTCGAACCATCGGACGTAAAAAGGTTCAACGCGTTCCAAGATAGATTTGGCTCCCAATGGTTGAACGTCATCCCGTGCAAAAATTTAAGGTTAAAACTGTCAAACCAACAACTCAGAATTGCGATAGGACTTCGATTAGGATCAAAAATATGCGAGCGGCATAAATGCGTGTGCGGAAAAGACGTTACCGAGGATGGTTGGCATGGTCTTTCTTGCCTCAAAAGTGCAGGGAGATTCTCTAGGCATTCAAACCTGAATGCCCTTATAAAGCAGAGTCTATCGTCTTCTCACATTCCGTCTGTTTTAGAACCACGACACCTCTACAGGACCGATCAGAAGCGACCAGACGGTTTTACGCTCGTTCCATGGGCTGATGGTAAGCAGCTCTTGTGGGATGTAACGGTAGTAGACTCCTTAGCTCCTTGTAGGATTAAGGCCGGGTCTGTTTGTAACCCTGGTACGGCTGCCGCTGAAGCGGAAGAGCGAAAAATTGACAAGTGTAAAGATCTTGTAAATGATGGATATCTTTTCCAACCGCTAGATTTTGAAATTCAGGGCGCGGCCGGCCCCAGCACAGAAGTTTTTTGAGCAAGCTTTGTAAGAACCTAAGCATATGCACTGAGGAGAATTAAAACAGAGAATCTCCCTGGCAATACAGATTGCGAACGCCGCTTGCGTACTCGGAACAATAAATGACAAAATAACTTTCGACTTAAAACTTGTATATTATATTATCTCGTGTCGAGTTGCGTGTTCTTATTGAAGAAACGTAACCCGTATCGATTTTAATTGAAAAGGACTTAAACACTTGTCATCTTCTTTTATCATTATCACTTCCATATCTAAAAAATTCCAAGGATTTTGACTGGAATTCATGATGAAGGGACTCATGACTGTAACCTCGGTTACTATGATACTTTTGACCTTCTAATTTCCAATATAAGAGCAGACTTTTTGAGCCCGTCTTCTTCTTTTGAAGGTCGGCATCAGTTCCAAAAATTGTGTTTCCTTCTAGTCACTGGGTCACTAACTCGCGTTTTCAGATCCTGGTTGAATCATTCAAAATGGTCTGGAATCTCAACCCCTTCGCAACCCCCAACTTTGCATCCATGGTTTCCCAAAGTAAGACAGCTACTGCAAGGTCTGAAACCATCACCCAGGCTTCGGTGCCTAGAAAACTTGCAGCAGCGGGCGCTGCACCTGCAGAGGGCTATAGTTGCGAATATGGATCATTGAAGTATTTCGCACTATGTGGCTTTGGAGGAGTCTTGTCTTGTGGTCTCACACATACTCTAGTCGTACCACTTGATTTGGTGAAATGCAGAATTCAAGTGGACGCTCAGAAGTACAAGTCAATTTTCACGGGAATGAAATTGACTGTAGCTGAAGAGGGCACGCGCGCTCTTGCACGAGGGTGGGCACCTACCTTCATCGGTTATAGTATCCAAGGTTTGGGTAAATTCGGATTCTACGAAGTATTCAAGAATTTTTACAACGGTTTGCTGAATGAAGAACAGCAGTACACCTACAGAACGTATGTTTATCTTGCTGGTAGTGCGAGCGCTGAGTTCTTTGCCGATATTGGCCTGGCTCCTTTCGAAGCCACAAAAGTAAGAATTCAAACGAAGCCGGGATTCGTTGGTACAATGCGAGAAGGTATGCCCATTATCTACAAAGATGGAGGTATCAACGAATTCTTCAAAGGACTGCCGCCATTGTGGGCCCGACAAATTCCATACACTATGATGAAATTCGCATGCTTTGAAAGAACCGTCGAAGCTCTGTACAAAAATGTAGTGCCCAAGCCACGGGACCAGTGCACCAAGGGCGAACAGTTGACAGTCACATTCGCTGCTGGTTACATTGCTGGTGTGTTCTGTGCAATCGTATCGCACCCTGCTGATACGATGGTGTCCAAACTAAACCAGGCTAAGGGAACTGGAGTTGGTGCCATCTACAAGCAAATTGGATTCATGGGACTCTGGAAGGGACTGGGTGCAAGGATCATTATGATTGGTACCCTCACTGCTCTACAATGGTTCATCTACGACACTGTGAAGGTCGCGCTGAGACTGCCAAGACCTCCTCCCCCCAAGATGCCCGAGAGTCTGAAAAAGAAGCTGGAAGCCAAGTCGTAAGCCGATCAATCAAAACAATGCACTCTAAGAGATGAAATAGTTGAAGAATAATTTTGTGGGTCTTTTAAAGCTTGTTAAAACGAGTTTTCTCTCAAATAGATTTGAATTATGAGCATAAAAGATCCCTTATTTTAGCCTCAATCATTTGTCTTGTTAACCAATAATGAAATACTAATCGGTAGCTTGCTGCTGAAAGATAACCATGTAACTAATTAATGTATGTACCAATAAATCGTCGGAGATTACTTGACAAGTGCTTTCATCGATAGCAAGAACTTAAAGCCTACTCGCTGGCAACCGAAAAGAAACTATTTTTATTGTTTATATAGTACGAACTTCTTGAGTTTTCAACATTTAAACAGGTTTTAAAAAGTCAAGAGCGGATTGATGAGAATTTTAGTAGCTTGAATTCAAAGAGCAGTTTGGTGAAGACAGTGTGAGGTGAGCCATGGTGAGATGATCATATGTCAGTCGATCAGAGTTGTCCATGAATCAGTTGATATTTTCATAAAGCTCGCGATAAGCAAGCGTAATCAAATCGGAGTATAGACTTTTTTCGGGTTAACAACTTGGTATCTTGGTTCATTATAAATTACAATTTCGAAGGGTCCCCTCTTACCTTTAGTCTACCCCCCGTCGTAAACCTCTGCTGTTTGTAAGAACTAAAAATCTGTTTGGATGTTTTTATATAAACCTTTGACGTCCCAGGCGTATTGGTTACCTCCAGACAGACGAATCATTATCGAAAATTTAATAAAAACCATTTGTACATATGGTTTGTACATATGGTTTGTAAACGCTTTTGTACATATAAATGTCTACTAAAAAAAAGAAAACAGCGAAAATTTTTATGTGTTCATTACAATCATTACAATTATTTTTTAAAATACAGATGAATTATTTAAAAATCCGCATTTCTCTGAAAAACCAGACCAAAATTACTCTCAGCGTAGCTATGTACCGAGATTAGTTTTGTCTGAGTTTTTATAAAGTTTTTAGACTTTTTTTCTAGCATAAGACCAGAAATTTAATTCGCATGTCTGATAGCATGCAAAAAGCAAGCTCAAAGCTTTCTTTTTCCTTTGAACATTAAAGTTTTGTATTTTTCAAAAAGATAAATCTAAAAACAGCTCTGAACTTGTGCGCATTTCGTAAAAACAAACTGAATTTTTTTGGAATACAGGAAAACATTGACCCCCTTGACAAAGTTGCCCACATCATTAGTTTAACGAATATTGTTTACAAAAAAAATCTTCACGCAAAAAACATAAACGTAAGTTTTCAAACAATTGTTTTAATCTGAAAAGCGAGAAAAAATTCTCGAAAACCAGATTCATCTTTCAATGGTGAAAAAAATTTATTTTGAATGTCTGGTAACATTCATGGAACGGGTTTTCGATTTAATTTTGAAATTTAAAATGAATGAGTTCTTGATTACCCACAATATAATCTATCTGTTATATATTTAAATGCGGGCTTCACTATCTCGCCATGTTTAAGCTTTTTCAACGTATTATTTTTGCATGTTTAAGCTGTATGGTATATTGCAATGGTTAAGAATTTTTTTTCGATTTAAGAATATGATTTTAGTGGTTATTTTATCCAGTTTAAATTAAGCAGCCCAATATCGAATTAAGGATTGCGAATTTGGCCTCCAATTTTGAATGCCCGAATCATTTTAGTTAACGAGACAAGACGATTTTTGAGATTTTTTCAGAAATTTCAAATAACAAAATAATTTACAAAACTTGAAGTTCCCAACTCTGTACTTGGGTGCTGTCAGATTACTCTAAGAGTTATAAATCTTGTCTCCAAATATGACTGTTCAAATCCGTCAGAAAACTTTTCAAGAAAACTTATATTAATTTTTTTTTTTCAGAAAACTTATATTAATTTTCAGAAAACTTTTCAGAAAATTTTCAGAAAACTTATATTAATTTTTTCAGAAAACTTATATTAATTTTTTTTTTCGGAAAATCTGAAATTCCCAACCCTGTAGTTGGGTCCTGTCAGAATATTCTCAAACATTGCGAATCTTGCCTCCAAATATGACTGCTCAATTCGTTTCAGTTTTCGAGATATGATGTTTTTGTGGTTTTTTCAAAAGTTTTCAGAAAACTTAAATTATTATTAGTTTTTCAAAATCTGAAACTCGCAACCCTGTAGTTAGGTCCTCTCAGAGTATTCTTAAAGATTGTGAATCTTGTCTTCAAGTATGACTGCTCAATTCTTTGTAGTTTTCGAGATATGACGTTTTTTGTGATTTTTTCAAAAAATTTTCAGAAAACTTATATTAATTTTTTTTCGTAAAATCTTAAATTCCCAACCCTATAGTTGGGTCCTGTCAGAGTATTCTCAAAGATTGCGAATCTTGCCTCCAAATTTTACTGCTCAATTTGTTGCAGTTTTCGAGATATGATGTTTTTGTGATTTTTTCAAAAATTTTCAGAAAACTTAAATTATTATTAGTTTTTAAAAATCTGAAACTCGCAACCCTGTAGTTGGGTCCTGTCAGAGTATTTTCAAAGATTGTGAATCTTGTCTTCAAATATGACTGCTCAATTCTTTGTAGTTTTCGAGATATGACGTTTTTTGTGATTTTTTCAAAAAATTTTCAGATAACTTATATTAATTTTTTTTTCGTAAAATCTGAAATTCCCAACCCTATAGTTGAGTCCTGTCAGAGTATTCTCAAAGATTGCGAATCTTGCCCCCTAGTATGACTCCTCAATTCTTTGTAGTTTTCGAGATATGACGTTTTTTGTGATTTTTTCAAAAATTTTCAGAAAACTTCACAAAGTTTAAATTAATTATTTTTCGAAATTTGAAATTTCCAACGCTATAGCTCGGTGTTGTCAGGGTACTCTAGAGAGTTGCAAATCTTGCCACATGCGACTGCTAAACGCGACTGCTCAAATGCTTTTAGTTTCCGAGGTGTGACGTTTTTTGATATTTCAAAATTTCTCGAAGAACATATCTACAAAGAAATTCAAAAAAATTTGAAACTCTTAACTTGATGAAGATACAACCTTATTATCAGCGTACACCTAGGCGTCTCAAATCTTGCCTCTTAATATGAATGCTCAAATCCTTTTAGTTTCCGAGAAAAGACGTTTTTTTTTCAATTTTTTTTTTCGGGAAACTTGGGTTTAAAAAAGTTCACAAAATTTTGGATTCCTAACCCTATAGTAGGGTGCTCTCAGGGACTCTCAGTGGTTGCAAATCTGGCCTCCAAATTTCTCCAGAGTCCCATTAAGTTTTCGAGATTTGCGGTTTTTCATGAGTCCCATTTTTCATGAGTCCCAAATTTCTCCAGAGTCCCATTAAGTGTTCGAGGTTTGCGGTTTTTCATGAGCTGTCGAAAAATTTCGAAGCACCGAAGGTGCGTTAAACGCTAGTTATCCTTAAGCTTTCGAACAAAAGGCAAACTTCATTTCAATTCATTTCACCTGAAGTATCGAGCTCAAGATTGTTTTTGCGAAGAATGTTCAGAAGTTTAGATTACCGGTTCTGCAGCGAAGCTGCTTTAATTTTTCTTCTACAGCATTATGTTTGAAAGGATGGGAACACCAATCTGCTATTTTCAGAAATTTCCGTTTTGTCTAAAAGTCAATTTTATTTATCAATATGTAGTAGCTTGTAGGCTTATCTGATACAGAGTGTTGAAGATTATAAAAATATGGTTCGTGGACTGTTAGTTTTTTCTTTCTACGAATTCTTTTGAAACACTCTCAAATATAGCTTAAAGTTGATTATCTTGACCAGCTTTTTTGTAAAAGATTGGAGTAGATTACAGAATTAAGATTACAGAATTAAGGTTGGAATAGCTTTTTACAACTATTAACAAGCAGCCCGTTTAGTGTTATTGGTTTTAAATTAGCTCGAGGGGAGTAATAAAAACTTTCTAACTCTGAAAAAGTATCTGATTACATTTTTTTGTGTCAACAGGTTGTTTTTAACGCTAGTCCACCGCTGAATATTGTCTTTTGAGTGGATCATCTTTTTCAATCTTTTTCTTAACAAAGTGGTTTTTGTCTCATTTTAGCTCCTCCAGCTTGTCATGCTGTGGGTCCGTAGATCAGTTCAGCCTCTGCGTGGAATCTTGACCTTATTGAATTTTTTATTGTGACGTACGAACATTTTTTGTAAAGTTATGGGCGGTTGACAGTTGGCGGAACACTCAAAGCATATTTTGTCAAAGTATTTGTACACAATGTATCAATCTGATTTCAAAATAGTTTCGAGCTCATATTTTCAAGTATTTTTTTATCTAGACGCACATCATTCAGCTATATGTGTATTTTTCTAAAAATTAGTGTTTTATTTTTTTTTCTCAATGAATTAAGATTACTTATAAGGGCGTGAATCCCATTAAATGTTGCGGGGCTTTGTTTTGCTGGTAGGGTCTAAATGTTACAGACGCCCTCTAGAAGGTATTTGGGGTATGCAAGGTTTCGTGATAGATGTAATCTGGTTTACATTAAACAGGCACTAGCAGGTAGTTTTCTGAAGTATAATTACCCCTACGTACTAAAATTTAGTCCACTAGTTAGGTACGGAAATTGAGGTTTCTCGAGGGAGCAAACTTCAAAAAATACAGCATTAGTTGGTTCGCAGCAAAAGTTGATTTTTAAAGCAACCTCGTCAATCGAAGAATTTTCGAAGTACCTCAACTTGTTTCAAAGCATGAAACGACTCGCTAAAAGTTAGAAGTTTCAAGCAGGCTTTCAAGTAAATAATCTCATTCAAGCACAGTTTCCCTTTCTCATTTGAGCAGCTCGTTTGAAAAATTTTCAAAGCTCTCAGGCTACCTTTTGACTATTTTAAGACAAAAGGAGCAGTTTGCTGTTTTTCGCTCGTCTTGAAACAAGTGGAACTGCTGAGGAAGTGCTTCAGACAAAATACAAGTAGGTACTGCCTAGCCTTGAAGTTGAAGCGAGTTGATCGTTTGAAATGTTGACTTGAAAAAAGAACATTTTTACTATATCACAGATGCAGATTTTTGGCGAATATTCTTGCCCAGCGGAGTAATTTCTTAAACGCTGCGCTCGACAGACCCTCAAACATTGTGATTTTTGCTATAAAATGCTGATTTGAATTATCCGGACAAAATTTAAAAAATTTCAAACGCGTTCTCAAATTGGGTTGAGATTAGACAAAAAGTGAACAGAACAAAATTTGCTTTTCAGCAGAATTTCAGAATATTACGTATTTTTTTTCGAAGTTTTTAAAGATTTTACCACAAAAATGGATCATGGTGGCTCTTTTTCATTTATCAAAGACTACGCTAAAAAGTTAGTTGACGAGAAATTTTTATTTAAAAAGCCTCTTACACGGCGCAACAATGTTTTAGAACGGTAAACTTCCAAAAATTTGCTTGAAACGTTGCAATATGGGTTAAGCAAAGAATTTGAATTGTATGTAGTCAAGATAACTTTTTTCGGCTATCAACCAAATATATTTTTTCTGATACAGATTTTCGGAAAATGTTTCTCTAGAACTTGGTTGGGCTGTGTAAGAGGCTTCTTTTGATATAAAATTCTCATCAATTAACTTTTTAGTTTCAGTGTATTTATTTTTTTGATTAAGAAAACCTAAATGACCTAATTTTGGGGAACCATTTTTGTTGTGAGATTCGAAAAAAAATGCACCAGGTTGCTTCTGGTGAAGTTCTCGGCAACTTTTGTTTTGGATTTTTTCATTGTTTTTCGTTGTGTCCGGCTAATTTAAATCAGCAGTGTAGTTCTCTAAAGCTATTGTTTGTATTTTTTTCGATTTTTCATATTTTTGCTCTGAAAAATTCCATGGCAGTTTTTTGTTTTATGAAAACTGTATTGAAGTTTTGGGCTTGAATTTACTCAAAAATAGAAGTCTCCGTAAAAGCGCAATCTTTTTTTTTGCCTTCTTGAAAGTTCTTATGCAAATTTGAAAAACGCTAATAAATCTGTCTGAAGGTCAGAATTTTTTCGGATCTTCAAAATATTGTCCAATAATTTTGTTAAAAAGTATATACTATAGTGAGTTGCTAAACTTTGGAGAAGACAGAAATAATTTAACTGTATAATTATCAGCCAAAGAATGGAACTCATAGAAATAATTAAAAAGAGCAATCTGCCAATTTTGTGCTCATTTTGCATGCTAACTTGAGTTTTCAGAGCCCTTGAGTCATGTTTTTTGTCCGAAAAGTTGGCGTTTTCAGTGCCCTTGAGTCATATTTTTTGTCTGAAAAATTGGCTTTTACATGCAAACTTATTTCTGAAATGGGGCATCTGCTCTTTTTAATTAATTTCTGTTCCATTTTTGTACAAATCTCTATTTAAAGCGTTGCGAAAAATCGGAACTGGCAGAACTAATTAAAAAGAGCAAATGACCTATTTCAGAAAACCTTCGTATGCAAAAATAAATTTTTCATATAGAAATGATGACTCAAGGTCACCTAAAAACTCGTTTTTGCATGCAAAAATTGCTCGAAATTGGCAGATTGCTCTTTTCAAATTTTTCTGTCTGTTTCAACTTTTTTGCTACTTATTATAATCTACCACTTTTATTAATTTTTGCATGGAACTTTGATTTGTTAGGCGACCTTGTCATAATTTATGTCAGAAAAATAAGCTTTTGCAGACAATTTTTGCCTGAAACCGCTCATTTGTTCTTGTTCAATAATTTTGTGTGTTCCAACTTTTTGCAATTATTTGTCGCAAGGTCACCCAAAAATTTAATTTTGTATGCAAAAAATGTCTCAAAATTTGCAGGTTGCTCTTCAATTATTAATTTTGTCTGTTCCAGCTTTTTGCAATTTAATATAGATTAATATAACAAGCATTTAAGGTTCAGCGATTTTTGCGTTTCGTTAACCTTTGGTACTTTGCAGAGTTAAATACTGCAAGAACAATCGAAAATGAACCAGCTTAAGTTGTGCACGTGGTTGCTAAAATTTAACGCGAACATCAGTGGTTTTATTTGGCTGAACAAGTTCTGAATAGTTTACCGTAATCAGATTTTGATGCTCAGTTTGGTCTTTAAATATGAACTAAGTGAGTAATGTATCTCGCTGTTGTAATCTTTAACTTTGAACTAGCGTTTCATATTTTGACCTATATCACACGGAATAGTTTTTTACAGTTTCGTAACTGCTTTCACGCAGCGATATGTCGATTGAACTCTTGTGTAATTTTTAACGAGAAACAATTTTCAGGCAACTGTGTCTAAAGCGAGGCCACAGCCCAAATTTAAAATGATGGAATTGATCTGTAATGATTTTATATGTAGGTTCCCTCAGTGATAGCTTGGTTTAATAAGACTCGAAACATTCAAGTTAATGAAATGTTATTATAATGTATCTTTTTTCAGATTGTATGTTTGCTCGACGTCTTCTGAGACCTACATTTGTGCTAACCAGAGACATGACTATCAAGGCCGGAGATAAACTGCCCAGTGCCACTGTCACACTGTCCAATCCAGGCGACAAGAAGGACATCAAGGACTTCTGCAAGGGCAAAAAGACTCTTCTGGTCGGAGTTGTCGGTGCATTCACGCCCACGTGCGACAACCAGATTCCACCTTTTGTCGCTGCTGTTGATGACTTGAAAGCTAAAGGTGTCAATCAAGTCGCAGTTATCACTGTGAATGACGCGTTTGTCTGCACCAAGTGGGGTGAAAGTATGACTGTCGGAGATAAGGTCACAATGTTGTCGGACTACAAGGCTGAGTTCGCGAAGGCGGCGGGTCTAGAACTTCCAGGAGTTGAAGAAAAGTTAGGCAATTTGAGGTCAACTCGGTTTATGATGTTGATAAATGATGATACAGTAGAGAAGATTTCAGTGGAGGAGAATCCGGGAGAAGTGCAGGTTACTGGAATTGACACGGCTAAGACCTGGCTGTGAACTGAGCAATCAACTACATAAACTGAAACAATTCATTAGAGGATCTGAAATTGAAGAAGAACTGAGAAAAATTTTACTACTTGACTTGCCGTAATAATTCATTAACTGATTATAATAATTAGTTATGATGACTGAACTAAATTATAAACCGTTTAATGAAACTGCTTGAAGCAAATCATGAGGTTATAGTCGTCTTCTCATTTCTTCATGACTGTAATTTGACTCCATATCAGCTTGAACAAATAATAAATGCTGTATGAAATTTCATTTTTCTTGTTTGCAAATGAGTATTTAGGAAGGTTTTTGCCCGGCAGTTTTTGTATTCGCCCTAATCAAAGACAAGATTAAAATAGGTCAAAAATGGTTTCTGTTTTTTAGGCTAGAAAGGTCGTCTTGATAGAGAAATGGTTCAAATTTAATAAAAATAATCTTCGGAATTAATAGAGGACGCTTCGGCATGGTTCAATAGTGGCGAGTTTTTGCTTTTTTATCTGTATGCTTCTTTTCGCGAAAATTAAATTTAATTTGTTGCATAATTTGGAACTTTCGTTTTCTGTTTTTGACAGAATGAACCTAATGAACCTCGTTTTTGGAATCGTTTTCTCTAAATGTCCTTTCCGATCGGCTTTATCCGCAATCAGTTGCCTCAGTTGTTGTTCCCTTCCAATTCTAAGGTTACAGAGACCTGAAATTGAAGTTTTGAACAAATCAAGGTTGCCGTACAAGTGGCTTGGCATAATGTTCTCAACAACATCAGTTGTGGAAAAAGTCATTAAAGAAAAATTCGGGAAATTTTCTTTATTTTGCATTGGTCCAAAATTTCATTGTTTTTTTCCTAGAAAAAGCATAAATAAGTGTCAATTAATAGTTTATTCAATGTATAATTAATTCAAACCAATATTGCGAGTAGACCAAAATTTCTCTGAAGTTTTTCAGAATCCAAATAACGGCTCAAAGGGCTTTAATTTAATACCAAACTTGAGTCTTACGAGCTAATATTGAGATTGCTTAAAGGAGTCGGAAAAACACCTTATGCCTTCGTTCCTTTTCCCACTTTGTTTTAGGTTGAGCAGTTCAGAGGTATAATGCACCAATAAATTCTGGAATTTCTGCCACTGCGATTTTCTCCTTATTCGTTGATGAATTTTTGAAGTATTTTTTCAGCCTCTACTCAATTTTTTTTGCCCATTCATTAAATATCAGCTAAGAAGAACCAAAAAATTGACATAAACTCCCAACGAGCTATCTTTGAGATTCAAAATTGGTTGGAAAAAACAGACCCTGCAAGCTCCTACAAAATCACTGAATCATTTGTTAGCTTGATTTAGCTTGAAATATTTGTTTTGTCTCAGCGTGGCGCTTGGGTTGAAGACGTGTTTTTTCTTGCAAACCGAATATGCTCTGTTTCTAAATATATATTCGACTCAGGGACGGATTTAGGGGGGGGGGGCGGACGCCCCCCCTCCTCTTGGATTCGACCCCCTGCCGACCCAAAGGGTCCCCCTTTGATACTTTTTCAGAAATCCATTTTTGGTCGACCGACCCTAAAATTTTTCTAAAGGCGCCTTTGGCGCCAATATATACTAACTTTGAGGGGGAGCGCGCGGCAAAAAAAAACGCTATTTGAAAAGTGAACGTATGCTGGGATTTAAGATGAACTTAATGTATAATCGAATGAAGAATAATCGAATAATATTAAAATCTGACAAGCCGTCGGAGGATGTGAAATTTTAAAGTTTCAATAGCTTAAGTTTGGTTGAAATAACAATAGTTGTTTTTTAAATTCTTATTTTAAGTTAGAAACAAATCTCCGTGTACTGAATGCAAACTTGAAAAGTATATAAAGAAGTTTTAGTGATGATACTTGGTCGAACGTCAGAAAAACAAATAGAAAAAAATCCCTCTGAGAAAAACGATCGGTTACTTTTCGCTATTTCACAGAGTTTCTCAGTTATCAAAACAGGGCAAATTGAATGTCAATTTTTTTGCTATTTATAGAATCTCAAACTTTCAACGCGGTAGCTCAAATTGTTTTAAAGTCATTTTGACGTGATTGCGCGTTTCTTGTCTGAACTACCTTTTAACTATGTAACTAGGATATAAGTTCTGAAACGCCAAAACTTGAGATTTTTTTTCCCGATATTTTTAATATTATTTGAAATCTAAACGAAACGAAATCACGACTAAAAAGCAAATTTCATCTCAGTCGTTGAGTGGAACTGTCAGGGGCTACAATATTCAGTTGTCAATCATCCTAGTTGCTATTTCTTTATCTACTTATCTCTGAGAGTTCTCATACTATAATTAAGTGTGAGTTTGGTACCTGCCTGTCAATCAGCCTAGAACTGTCTAGCTGTTTTGCGTTTCAGGGGAGCGTGCGCCAAAAAAAAACGCGATTTTTTTGTAAAATTTTTTCGAAAAGTGCCCAAAAACGGCTTTTTTAAATTGTTTTTCAAAAATTTGCCTGCGGCGCTGAAAATTTAGCCAAAATAGGGGCAAAACAGAGCTTTGGCAGAGCTCGAAAAATCAATTTGGTTGACCTATAAAAAAAAGGTCGTCAAAGTTTTGGAAAATTTTTTGAAAATCCGCCCCCCCCTCATCGAGAAAATCCTAGATCCGCCCCTGGGAAGGGCATTAGCAAACTCAATGCCTTGAAGAATTTGGTTTTTCTCGTGAAATCAGATTCAAAAAAGGATTTCTCTTTTTTTTTTAAGTTGAGATATGTTTTTTGAAGGAAACAAAAGTATTATAATCCAGCATCGAGTTTTGGTTGGTGTTTGCTTTTAGAAACACTTTTTTTCAAGACTGGTTGCTTGCTGTTGCATTGCAAACATGGACTGTTTTCAGGTTTTGGTTAAATTGTCACTTGTTGAAATCTTTTTTATTAATTACTTTTGCATTCATTTTTTCATTCTTACTTAGTTTGAAATAACTATTTTTTTAATCTCAATTTCATATGAATGGTAATTTATTACTCGGTTCAAAGAATGCTTCTACGTGTTTGTGCCACGCATTCCGCATACGGGAGTTGCTCAAATTCTTTTTACCCTCTGATGCTGTTTCGGAAGCTGGATTGATCTTAAATTCTCGACACGCAAAACACAATTTATAAAAAAAATGTTCGCGGAGTTTTAACTCTATTGGACTATTGATGAGTAGACTCCACTGATATCCATCAGAAACAATAATCACCACCACCATCAGAAAATGACTAACGTCAACTCAACGCAAACAGTCTCAGATGCTAACTGGACAAAACAAACACATGGTCAAAAAAAAGAATCCCATCCAGTGAACCAAAGTACGCGAATGGATACCAAATCGTCAAACAAAGCAGCAGACTATTGAAGCGCGACAAAGGAGGCGATCTTGCATTCATCATCAAGGATATCATGAAACTCCAGGTAATTGGCACTCAAAGAGAACATCAAGCAATTCAATTATTAACTAATTTTTCAAGTCCAATTCTTTAGAAAACCTACATCCCAATACTCATTACAGTTGTAGTCCCATTTGTTGTGTCTTTTCATCACATAACGAACGCAAATACACAATTACAGGTGAGATCAACCTTTATAACGCTGTACGTTTCTTCGAGTTACCAACTGACGTGTGCGACCTAGTTCTTGCTGAAGCAATGTTGTTGTTGTTGTTGTTGTTGTTGTTGTTGTGGATTCTCAGAAATACTTCTGATGGGACTGCTCCCAGTTCGTTTCTTTTTAAAACGTCTTCCATACATCCCTGCAGTTTCGACAATCACAAAACAGTATCCATGTGCAAGGATTCGCCTCATTGAATTTCGCCATTTGATAGGTCCACATAAAATTCAAGAGTCTGTTTTTTAGCCCCGTGGGATTGAAGAAATCTACTGTTCCAGGTAGATGATTGGCCACCCGAGACAGCCTGAAACAAAACTCAGCGCGAGCTTTTTCTGTGCGGACTTTTTTAAGGCTTAATGTCGGGCCGTCATTTTGTCTTGTATTTGAGGCAGACTTGTTGGTTAATAGTCGTATTTGTAAATCGTTTTCACTGTGAAAAAAGCTCGATAGATTCAATAGATTGCATAGCTGTATGAACATAGTAAGGGGCAATGTATTCGTTCGTTTCAACAACGTTAGATAATCACTCTCCACTCTCATAACTGTTTGTTACCCATTTTAGCGCTCTTTTCTGGAATCGTTCAAGTTTTGATAAATTTGCGCGGCATATATTAAAACACGAAGATGCAAATGTTATAAGTGGTAAAACCGCTGACTTGTAAACTCCCAATTTTACTCTCTGTGAAACCCTTTTTGCCACATTTCTTTTAGCAAAATAGAAAATCTGATTAGCTTTTTTCATTCTCGCCATTAGATGATTTGACCAGCTTAGGGTTTTATCAATATATACCCCCAAATCTTTTATTGTTTCTACTGATTCAAGCATATGCCCATTGATTTGAATTGAATTTGAGTTTCCTCGAAAAATCAGCTCTTTGCATTTGTCAGGAGCCAACTCCATTTTGTTTCCGTTCACCCAATTTTCTAAAGCCGATATATCTGATTGTATTTCCAATTTGGATAGGTACGCCGAGAAAAGTTTTAAATCGTCTGCATAAATGAAGGGAGTAGTGAATTTTAGCACTTCTGGCAGGTCATTTATAAAAATGCAAAACAGTAACGGCCCCAGCAGAGACCCTTGAGGAACTCCACTTGTAACTAATTTAGAAGAGGATGATACATTGTCACATTTTACCCACTGCGTTCTGTTTTCAAGTTAGCTCGCTAAGACTTCCAAAAAACACCCCCCTACTCCAATATTCGCCACTTTTTTCAACAATTCAAAATGGGGCACTTTATCGAATGCCTTGGAAAAATCGGTGTAATAAACGAGCACTTCATCGTTCGGATTTTTATCCAGCGCCTCGTAAACTCGTTGTAAAAATGCTAACAGATTAGTTACAACCGACTTCTTTTTAACAAAACCATGTTGACTTGATTTCATGTATTTTTGAAAGTGATCGTAAAGTGGTCGTACATGCATTTTTCGAGCACTTTAGAGATAATTGTTAATAACGAGACAGGTCTGTAGTTTTTTATTTGCCTTTTGTCGTCTTTTTTGTGTATGGGCGAAATAGCAGCACTTTTCCAGAATTTAGGTACACATCGTACCCTCTTGATATTTTTGAAAATAGCATTTAAAATGGAGCTCATCGGTTTAGCTAAACTTTTCAAAAAACAAGGCGGCAGGCCATCCGGGCCTTTACTTTTTGTTACATCCAGTTTAGTCAACAATTCTTGGATTTTGTTTTGAGATATGTCAAAATTTATGAGGGAAGCATTTTCGCAAGCAATGTCTGTTACTTTAAAATTGAATTTCGGAGTAAATACAGAGTGGAAAAAATTATTTAATTTTTCGACTTTTTCAGTTGACTCCTTATATTTAATACCATTTAATTCCATTTCACGCAATAGACGCATCTCGCTTCGTCGTTTTCAACGAATGCACACACAAAAAAATAAAACCATCAGCTCAACTGACACCAGCTCAGCAACTTAAAACCTGCGTTCCACTGATTGGTGCTGTGACAAAATACGAAGATCAGGTCATTCATGAATCACTTCAGAAATTGTCAGCGAAACACTACCTGTTGAGGTTCCCGAGAAAGCTATTATCAATTTTGGAAAAGCTGAGTGAAAAACCTTTCGGGCTAAAGGCGAAAAACAAACCCTTATTAGGTTTTGCTCAAATCAACTATCACAAGCGAGAAAACCGTTCGGAGGGTTAGATGCGGACGGGGTCTGGCAATTTACATGCAAGATGCTTTAAGAGGTAAAGCCGAATTTTCTGTAAGATATTTTCAACCTAAAGGAAGGACCAACTCCAACTGCAGCATACCAGAGACCCCAAAGTGTAAACTCTGTCAAACTGTTATTAAAAAAATCTGTTATAATAATAGTTTTTGAATGGGTATTTTTTGGAGGGACGATCACTAAGGGGCAGCAAATAAGGGGCTAAAAGACTTAAACACTCGAAAGCTTGAAAGTTTTGTCTTTTTCTTTCTATGAGCCTATCCACGATACAAATACGAGGAACAGAATCATCAAACAGATCATTTCACACCCAAACAATACCAAAAAAGAAACAAGGATAGCCGGTTACTGTGCAAGTAGCACAGAATGCTCTGACCATGGTCTTCAAAAAAACTACGAGAAATTTTTCTTTGCAATTAGTGTTTTTTGGCGTGGTGTGATAAAAGAATCTGACGCAAAACTATGTTAGGCATGTTCAACTATAATAGTAAAATAGGTAATTAGGCCAACAATTTTTGATGCAGTTGACTAGAAAAAAAATTATATGAAGAATTTTTTTAAAAATCAGAATATGTTTCAAAAATTTTTGCAGAAATTTTTTTGAATATTGAAGGTTTTGATCCCAAAATTTCATTATGGTAAAGGTAAAATTTAGTATAATTAAACTATTGTAAAAGGCTTAAAACAAGCATGAATAAACCTGCTTGCTGGCTTTCGTCGCTTGAAATTTACAAAAAATCCAAAATTTCAAACCGGTTTTTCTCGACACTAGAAGCAAATTTTGGTAATGCTTTAATGTGGTTCGAATCATGACTGGAAGGGCTTTAATTTGATAAATCACTCAAGCCGATCCGATAATTATTTGTCGTACCTGATTTTGCGTGGAAAACAAAAAGTTTAAAAAAACTAAAACACACCCGAATACAAAGTTCCTCCCTATTTTCAATGGTCGGAAAAAAAGCACAGTTATACGCATGAACAAACAATTTCTCTCATGATGGTGTTCTAACCCATCAAAAATTTGGCCCTGTTGTAACCTATACGAAACGCAAATGCCCTTACTCGAAAGAGATATCATAAAAATAACTACTCAATTACGCAATATAACCCTCACAAGTTCCTAACATCCGTTACTTAACAAAAACCATAATATTTATCTCAGCCTTAATTCCTGGCCTAAACACAGAAGTTCATCACTTTTACAAGACAAATTAACATCATGGACTAATAACTTTAATATCGAACCAAATATTGTGGTTGACGGCATCAAGCTATCTGCCACCTGCAACACTAAAATTTTTGGAGTTTCTTTAATAATTAGTTCAATTTCCATGAAAATATGGCAAAATCTATTTCCATCAATTTCTATGATATTTAAACAGATAGTTATTTCGGCCTAATCAACCTACATTGCGCAATTCCGAGAGCAAAATATATTCATATATGATTATCTGCTTTAGTATGGATGGGGCGTAAAAACTTAAAACATCATGATTTATTTATGACAACAGTTTTTCATCATAATGAGTTTCAGTTTGAAACAAACATTGGATCATTTTGGGTGTTGTTTTTTCGGCAATTTGCAATTTTTTTAAGAGTCGGTAGCTTTGTGTATCGCAAGTGGTGCGAAGCTCAGCTTTGCCTCTGTGTTGACTAATGCCCCTTCTGCAATTTCTCTTCGATTCATTTTTTCAAATATGATTTGTTGAAAAGATGATTGTACAATAGTATTAAAAGATGTTTCAAAGTTTATAATCACCATTGAGATTGTTTCAAAACCTACAAATAACCCACCTGGCAAAATGTACTAAATAATTACGACTTTATGATAGAATTGGTTTAAGTTGGAAGACGTGATTGATTTCAAGCAAAAGCACCACCTTTATATAAAGGTGCGGTTTGGTCTAACTGTGCAAATCAACACTGCTCCTTTAATGTTTCGGTAAAATTCCAGTACTGCATCAACAGTGCATCATTGACTTTGTACAGTGCCATTTGAACTCTCTCAGTGACGAAAATTACTGTACGCTAACAATACTGAATCACTTTTTTAAAATTTCATAAATCATTTTAAAAAAGTACTGAATCATCGATTGAAAACGTCTGATTTTGTGCAGTATTAGAGATATTTTTCAATTAACAAATTGAAGGAAAATAGGTTTCGTCTCAGTCTCGCACCCGTTCCGCTCCCGAACTAGCGTTGCGTTGGTTACCGTAACGGTAATAGTTTTTAGTTTGTAACATTACGTGCAGAGTATATCGCAGATGTCTGAAAAGCATTCAATTGTATCACATGGTATATTTGAAGAAAAGCAATTTTAACTCAATTTTCTCGGGATAAAAATTTTAAGTATAGTTATGTTTGAATCTATCCACTAAGATGGCTCAAAGTTGTCTTTGTTTGATCTTTTAGAGTTCTACACTTCTGTAATAATGCTGAATAATACCTGTTTGCTCTGCCTCGTAAATCGGGCCGCCCACTTATACACAACCAAATGTGTCCAGCAATCATTTGATTGGGGTTCAAATCGCACATGCGCACTTATTTTCAAGCTGAGATTTTGTAAGATAGCCATGTCAGAGCTTAGTTAGCCTTAAATAATTAACTTTTTGGTTAGGTTTCCGGCTGGTTAACTAAAAAAAAGAGCAGTATTTTTGCAGATTGGAAAGGTGCTTCATGTTTCAATCAGTTAACGTGGGTAGGAGATTTGTCTACGGGTTAAAAACAACGAGGTATCACAAAATAAAGGTCGTATGGTATCGAAAGAAAAACATACGGAGGCCATTGCAGTCATGATCTGAGCTAAAATGAAATCTTTCTCAATTTTTTTTAATTACCTCTGAGTAAATACGGATTAGTTTTTTCCAATTTCGGACTAATTTAGAGCAAGAATAGTGCAGTTTGGAGCTTGGGAGACTTTTTCATTGTTTTTAGAAGATCTATCTAAGCATGACAAACGACAAAATAATTTGACATTTATTATACTGCGAGGATAGGAAAGAGTTGGACAAAGACACTCAGTGCCTACCCTAATGGTGAACATTCTTGTCTGTAGTAGCATTCATTCAAAGCATAGGTAACCATAATGATTAAGAAAATATTAATAGAAAAAAAATAAATTTAATATAATTTAAATAAGTTTCTAAAGTTTCAAATGACTCAAATTTATCTTAGCGATATGTTTCGATCGGAGTTTTCTGTTCTGCTTGGGCAACAAGGTTGTTTTATGATTTCAGACATGGTTTTTAATAGCTATGTGACTCTTGTTGCAAGCTAATTTTACCCCCTGAAAACTTCTGAATAATACTTTTTCTCGTTTTATTTTCAATTGGCGATAATATCGTATCAATTTAAACTTCTTTTGTCTTTCAGTGCTCTTATTGATTAAATTATTTTCAGGAAAAAGGACAAATTATTTTTAGGGTTTTGAGCGCTGCTTAAAAAAGTATCACTAGGATATTGAATTTTATTGCCTTTTAGAAACAGCCAGCCGGAAACTAATTTTTTACTGTGTGCAGTGTAGCTTAACTAGTATGCCAGTCTACTTTTAACGCCACTATTTGTAAAGGTGCTGGGATCGATTGGAAAGGAAAATATTTGATGGCTATTGGAGAGGAGGGAAAAAACGAAATTAACACATGAGAACCGCTGCTCACCAGGGATTGTTGTGTTGTTGTTCTTACATGTGTATTTTATACAGGAAAATGTGTTTAAATTTTCCACTTTTTCACTATAGATAGAAATTTATCCGTTTAATTGTTTTCTTTTGCTGGGGATTTTCAACCTTTAATATACCTTTACAGCGGCGCCATTTTTACTCTCACAATTTCTAAATTGCATTTTCCATTTATCCCGATATGCTCTTCACCAGTACTTACACTACTCGTTCCTGGTGCAGCCATCAAGCCGAATACTTTCCTTCCATACTTTTCAGTATGCAGGGAATTTCGTCAGTTCTTAAATCTAATTGGCTGAAAAGATATCTTCAAGATTTCAAAAACCACACATTGCTATATAGCAATGTGTGGTTTTTGAAATATTCGAAGACAAAATAGTTTGAAAACTCACTTTTTCAAACCGAGTTTTAAGAAACTGAAGCAATTTTTGAGATTTTTTGTAAGAATCAATTTTGCTTAATAATTGCTCTCTGGTTGGTAAATTTGTATGCTTACGGTTCTCTCTGTTAACTAAGTTAGTTGGGTACAGCTATGTAACCATTTACCTAGCACCTTCCCACTTTAATAATGGCAATAAGTGTATTATGCTATAGCCCGAAAAAATATGTAGCAGCTACCTAATGCTGAATGCTTTTCTTATTTTGTAGCAACTGTACGGTTCAACAGAAGAGAAAAAAGAAATGAAAAATATGTTAGAAAAGCAGCAATTGTCGATATACATGGTAGCGTAGCTTGTGTATGTATTATGTGTAGTAGTCGCTTATCTAACCGGGATTTGAACCTCAAAATTTACCTCGCTCGACGTATTTTGATGGCGCAGTAGTGTTGTAGTATGGCATATATTTCTGATTTTTACCAATAACATCCTACCTAACGGTACCATAGTGCAACACACGAAAAACAACAGACTAAAAACAACACTACGTAGTTATTTCAACGATACTCAGGGAAAAAAGTAAGACTGCTTAACCAAGACTGTTTAGGCGAACGTGTAATTGAAACCCTCATAAGGTTTTTGTTCTAATTCATCAATTGCGACAATTTCGTCCCATCAAGGGTCGGTTACATCCGAAACGAGAAACTCTTTCCTTTTAACCTCCTTCCCGTTAGATTAGATTGATACAGTATACCGTAATGGGGAATTGATACAACACCGCTTGAACTTTCATTCGTATTCGCTACCAGGCCAAACCACACAAGTCCAAATTGCTGTTTATTTCCTTTTTGGGAGAGAGAAAAAGGAGTCACTTTTTGCAGCAGCATCATCATAAAACATATTTATTACTATCTAATTCGTTACTATTTATTTTGTGTCGAAATATAGTTATTTTTATATTTCTGTTCGAGAAATATGAACCAAGCCGCAACATGTAAAAAGTCTTCAGGAATTTCAAATTTATCGCGACTTTTGCTGTTCAGAAACACTTTCCACAGATCATCTTTAGTTGCTTTGTTAGTATGTGTTATAACTTTCGTTGTTAAATCAGAATTGGGGGAGGCTGTGTCGGAAGCACATTGCTGGACGGCGGGGGGAGTAGCCTGCAGTTTAACCAGTCAAGCAGAGGTAAGAATTAAGTCAATACCAATTATTCAACTTTGGTAAACCAATGGTCCATCCAACTGTCTGTCAGTTCATTGAAACCGCTAAAAAAAATGGTTTTTTTATCTTTTGTTTCAGTTTGCATCTGTTTTTATACTTTTTTGCATTTAATTTCAACATTGTGATTGTTTTTTCTCAACAAACCTTACTTCAATTTCAGAAAGTCTTCTTCCTGGTCTTTATTTACAACAATTTTTGTTTTAAAACAAAACAAAACGTATCAATTTCAACATCTGCACTTGTTTCCAACGAGATATTAATTAAAAAATTAGAATGAAGAAGGTTAATTTCCAATAGTTTTTAGAGCTACAAAACTTGTTATTTAATTCGGGGAATGATTGTTGATGCATGTTAAATATTTTTCATTCATTTTGAATGGGTGTTGATATGCATTGATCGAGGCGGAAATGCTATGAAAAACCTGTTATTGTTAAAAATCGGAATGCATACACTTTGAAATTAAAAAACAAGATGTTGACTGGTTGAAATTAAACTTGAGTTTGTTGAAGTGTACAACCAGAAGTGTTGAAACAAAAAGCAAAAAGGTATATTTATAATTAGCAAATATAAAATTATCAGTGTAAAAGGGCCTCGTTTTTTGGCTTGAGTAGAATTTTTTTGTTATTGAGTTCTTGAGTTTTCATTCCGGTTCCGGCCTTGAAAACGGAAGGAATTTAGGCATCATGGTGTGTTTTTCGCAAAGTGTGGTAGCCCAAAAAATATCAGATATAATCGAGTGATATATCATGAGCAGACGTGCCTGAGTGGGTAAGATGCGTGGCCGTTAGTACAAAGGTCTTTGGTTCGAATTCCGCTTCTGTGACAGTTGGAGAGGTCCTCAAGTGAAGCTTTCTCAAGTTTGGGACCGGCTGCAGAAAAATTAGTAACGTCTCTCTCCCCGTGTAAAAAAGACCCAAGGGTGTAATGTGGTAGCTGGGAATTAATAAAGTGATATATCAAACATACAACAGTTTTCTGTCATGATTTGATCAATTTTTCAGAACCAATAGTTCCAAATTTTTCTCGCTATGAAAAAACCTTACGGAATGGATCATAAAATAATTCAGTCTGACTGAGCCAAAAGTGAGCCAAATTTAACAGTGGAAACATCCGTCAGCGCTTGTTTCAAGTGCTTAGAAATATTTTATCTTTTTCCTATAAGTTGAATGATACAATATTACAGTACTTATATTTGAGTTTCCACTTAGGCAAATTTATAATTACCCTTGCGATAGCAAATGTATTGCAATCAAGTACTAGAACTTTTTCCCGTACATAACTCTAGGCACAATGGTCAAAATTAGAAATGGTTGAATTAGGTTCAGTTCTCAATTAGTTCTAATTTCTTTGTGTCTCCGGTACCCTTGGTCTGGAGGTAACGAATACGCTTGGGACGGCAAAGGTCCTGGGTTCAAATGTGACAGGACCTGTTTTTTCTTCAAACGGGAAATATTCCATTTCTCAAAAAAATTGTCTGTTCATATAATGGGTGTAATGTGGTAGCTGGGAACTGTCTGTCATCTTTACAGAAGTTAACTTTCTTCTATTTGTCTGTTTTTTCGGCTTAGTTTTTTTTTCACAATATAGTTGATTTTTTATGTTTTCTTTTTCCTCGCTTAAAACTTTGATTTTTTATGTTTTCTTTTTCCTCGCTTAAAACATGTATTCTGCCCAAATGATTTTGGCCAATTTTTTATCAGCCTAATGATCTAATATAGATTCATTTCAAGGAAATCAAATTTTCTATGCTGATCTCTGGATCACACAAAATGCTAAAAATCTTAATAGAAATTCTAGTTCAAGCTTTTCATGACAACAATTTATTTTTCGGCTTTTTTGTTTCTTTTTCATTTCCTTTTCTTTCGGCTTGATAGATTTTGATCTATTTTATATCAATTTAATGGCCGCATTGCGTCTTTCGGCAAGCGAAAAAGTTGTGTGTGCATGTATGTGCTCAGAAGTGAATTTAAATTTCTTCTTTTCTAATTTGAGCCTGTGATATTGGACACACTAGGCTTCTTATTTCACTTAATGGTAACCATTTTTGAGTTTTTTACTTGATAACTTCTGTGAAAAAAATCTTATAGTTAAGTCAGGATTTCAACTTTTTAAAAGGTTATTTTTCTTTCAAAATGCGTTTTGTGTATTAGTATGAGGCTTGCAGTTGTTTGTTTTTCCTGATATCAGTTTTCGTCACTGACTACACAAAAGATATTTAATTTGCTAATTTTCATTTTGATGATTCCTTGAATTTGGAGAAGTCTGACTCTTGAAGTTTTTCCGTGCTAGGCGTGCTCATTTTTTGGGCTTAATTTGGTATCTTGTGTTAAGTGATACAAACCCGGTAGTTCTTTTTTGAAACGGATGCTGTTGATTCGGCAAGAACATTCAACCATTCCTGCTGGAAAATTGACGTTTTTTATTGACGTTTTCATAGTTAATTGACGTTTTCATCTGTGATTTTGATTTTGTAAAATATTCATTTCAATTGAAGCAAAATAAAAAAGTCTTAGAGATGTTTTGCTGTTATTTAAAATGTTTCTTCAAAAAATTCTTTTAGATATTCGAGCGCTGTATTGTAAAGTAGTTTTTTTGGGCTTAGGTTCCAATACAATTAGCACAAAAGTGCTTTCGACAAAAATTCGTCTGATTTTTTGCTAACTTTTCATTCATTCAAGATAATAGCAAGGGGAATGGGCTATTATTTCAGTGGGAAAGTTTAATTTATTTAAAAAATTTTTTTTACATGCTTTGCTGTTGTCTAAGCAAATTATAGCGCGCGCGAGAATTTTTTTTTGCAGGAGTTAGAGAAACTTGAAGAAAATTGGTAGATATTCGAGCGTGGTATCATAGGAAATCCTTTTTGCCGTTTTTCCTTTCAAAGAAATAAAGATTTTTTTTTCAAAAAATTTTGGTGTTTGAGATTTCGGTAATTTGCTAAGTCAGATTGATTATTATCGAGCGGATTCAAAGACAATTTCAGCAGGGGGTTCAAAGACAATTTCTGCAGGGCTCACTTTTTTGGGTCCATGGTTTTCGTCCTTTTACTTGTCGGTTCAGTTTCCGTTTTTTTTTTGAAACGCCGTTTTTAAAATTCTGGTAGAGTTTTTATTAGCTTAATTTTTAAAGCATAGGTTTTGTTGCAATTTAAACAAGAAGATTTTACTGTAAGTGAAAGATCACAAATTTATAAATTTACGAAGTCTGATTTTGATTTTTTTGGATTGGGTAAACAGTTTCAATTGATGTTATATCGGCTCAGTCAACTTGTTTTGCGTAATTTTGAGCGCAAAACATCCGTATGCGATTATGTGTTTTTGTTTCGATGGGTCGTAAAAACTTTCAAATTTTATGAGTTTTTTCATGACAACAGTTTTGCTTTCGGCTAAACAGGTTTTGACCAGAAGATTGGCGCCTTTCTTTCTGATTGTTAAGTGATTTCCATTTTTTTAAAGGCCGTTTATGAACTTCAGCCGATACAAATGTGAAGTTTTTATAGCTGTATTTTTAAAACTTTTTTCCAGTTGTTTTTCCAAGTAATTTTTTCCAAATTATTGTTTTAGATTTTTTTTTACTGTTATCCTTTTTTCCATTCACTATCTTGTATCTCAATATGCTTTTGCATCGCAAGTGTTGCAAAGCTCCGCTTTACCTTTGCATAAAAATTGTTTTAAGCACATCAGGTGGTCCTTGCAAAGTAATCAGTCAATCGGGTTGTTTTTGTTTGCAAAAATGTGAAAGGTTTTCTCATTCTGACCTTCGAATGGTAAATAAACTGTATACTTGAAGTCGTCTGCTGATAGACTTCAGGTGAAATTTTCTCCGCAAAATGAGTTTTAAAAACGTCACCAGAAGTTGAATAATTTTTAATCTCGTTCAGACAACTCAGACTGAGACATTTTGAACTAAATTATAAGGAGAAATTTCAACCAAAACTACTTGCCAATGCATTTTGTATTCGATAATTGTTTTTAATTTTTGGAGTAATTGCTGCAATGGTTAATTGGCTAAAATGTCTCCGGCCGAATTGTCTTGATTTTATTGGCGAAATGTCTGAATTTTAAATTGGCTGAAATGTCTCTATCCAGAATGTCGAGGCACAATTTTCAATAAATGCGCCTTTCAGTATTTATTAGAACTGCAATAAAAACTATTATCTAAGAGAAAAAGTGTTATATTTATTTTTTGTTTTTAAGTCAGCGAGCACTACCCTTTCAAATGCTCATCAGATATATGGCCCTACAATACAATTATGTCACTTCATGAACACTTATGATAAGCAACTCGTATAAAATTGAAGCATATACTTTTTATCGATTCCGGTAATTAGCTTCAAGCAGAAACAGTGAAACATTTGTTAAACTTGAAGCCACTAGCTCGGTAAATGTGTCTCGGAGATAAGGTTTATACGTTGTTCAGCAGATTTTTGTAGTTCCAGTTTGGCCAAAAAACTGAACGTCATGAAAACAAATGTTAATACTATGAAAAACTTTTTGAGATTATTCGTTAATTGCTAGAAATTACTTTAGAGAGAAATTTTCATATATATAAATAAAATCACTCAGTTTTCGAATTTCAAAAAAATAAATGCCCTTTAAGCTCTTTAAAATTCTAGAACAATTTATGACTGGCGCTTTTTTTGATTGGCCATGACAAACATATTCGGTCTCCATACTCAACCTTGTAAGACCACTCGTTACACCATGAAATTGATACTTATGTTAGGTGGGGGAGGGGGGGGGGGGAGGAAAAAGAGCCTGCGTCACTTTTAGCAGATGAATTTCAATTGAACTCAAAAGTGCATACATGGATAAGTGCAGGGGCGGATCTAGGATTTTCTCGAGAGGGGAGTTCCCAAAAACTTTCGAAAACTTTGTCGACCTTTTTTTAGGTCGACCAAATGGATTTTCTGAGCTCTCCCCTCTCCAAAGCACTACAAAGATCCCCCTGTTTTGGCCAAAGTTTCTGCGTCGCAGGCAAAGTTTTGAAAAAACAGGCCAAAAAGGCGTTTTTAGGCTTTTTTTGGAAAATTTTAACCAAAAATTGCGTTATTCGGCGCGCGCTCCCGTCTTAAAACTAATATATTTTGGCGCCAAAGGCGCCTTTTGAAAAAATTTAGGGTCCGTCAGCCAAAAATTGATATCTCAAAACAGTACAAAGGGGGGACCCTTTGGGTCGGAATGGGGTCGAATCCTTGAGAGAAAAAAGAACGTGAGCCCACCTCCCCCCCTAAAAAAATCCGCCCCTGGCTTAGTGCATTCATAAAGTGCATCCGAACTGTAAACTACAATGCTTCAAACATCACGAAAAACGGATTAATTGAAGTTTGCTGGAGAAAATTAGCGAACATAATCACTAAGTCTAGAATCGAGTGTCCAATAGTGCTTTTTTGTCATATTAAAGTTCAAGAAAACTGTTTGTTCTTACAGTTAGTTTTGAGTTCATTTATTATGGGGATTGAATGGACTGACAGCACGTGAAAAACATTTACTAATTTCAGTATGAAAAACCAGATGTCAGCTTTAACTCCTTCTCTTATACAGTACTGATTCGAAAATTGTCACCTGACAAACTGATCTTAGGAGACATACTAATTTATTTAAAAAAACAATCTGAAAAATTCTATTATTATTGCAAATTTGAGATTACAAGCGCTTCAGAGAAAATTCAATTTTCCTGATTGTTTTTTCAAAATTTTGTCATTTTTCGGTTTCCTTGAGTTTATTAACGCTTTTCAATTTTTTGCTAATCAGCTAAGACAATTTATCCACTGTGGTAAGCTTTTCACGGAGAATCGCTGCTAAGCCCCTGGTTAAGAGTTACATGCAAATGTTTTTTTTTTGGATATGTTGGCTTTTCATACCAGCTGCTGGCTATGTTTCACTATCCTTTCTTTTAGTTCCATGAAGAACTTCTGCATCGGCGCAGGAGAGGAGACCACTTGGCCTCGGAGGCATCTCTGAGCAGGAGCAAGAGAGGATACTCCTCCAAGAAACACATGGCGCAGGAACAGGGCTCCACTTCACAGGTCTGTTAAGGGTTTTTAAAGCGAAATCTTCCCGTCAATTTACTACAACATCTGATCCCTATTTTTGAAAGGTTTCGATTTTGGGATCGATTTTTGTGTAGCGAAATAAATTCGGCAATATATTACGATATCTGATCTTTATTATTTAAATGTTTCGCTCTTGGGCTAAAATCCTCGACCTATCATCAAAAATTGATGGTAAAAGCTAGTCATTATGTCTTCTATATCAAGATATGAATTGGTAAACTCGTGAAATGAGATTTTGATTTTAATTTTTTTATAGTGTTTCTTTTTTCATGAAATTTTTATTTATGAAATTCAGATGGGATACAGTAATGATGTATTGTCGCTATCATAAGAATAAAAATTGAAAAAAAACTTTTGCTGTTTTTGAGACGCCAGTTACCAATCTATAAATGCACCAGGCAATAAGATAAATTTAATCATACAAAGTGGTCATTACGCCAGTAAAAAGGCCTAGTTCTATTTTGAACTTTAATTTGAGCAAGGCGACACTTAGCCTCAAGCGCAAATTTGTAGTTGGCGATCATTCTTACCAACCAATTTTCGCTTGCGACTCACTGTCGCTTGCTGTATTATTTGATTGGTTACTGGCTCCTAAAAAGTGAATGTTTTTAATTTATTTTTCTCGGCATTTTGTTTGATCAAAGCTACAGTCTTTTTTTTTGGAAAAGCTTAAGTATATTACATCACTCCACACTCCACCCCGTCTGGCTGTTTCTACCTGACTTAAAAAATAAACAGGATAATGAAAACTCCTTTCAGCTACATGTTCGGAACAAGTTTTTTCAACAGATGGAGCTTATAAATTCCCAACCTGATGCAGAAGAATTAAAGTCTTAGAAATTTTGTTATTTCTTAGAAAATAACAAGTAGAAATTTTGTTATTTTTTATAAACTTTACTACTAACTTTATTTATAGTTAATAATTTTATTTATGAAGGTTCTTTGCTAAATAATAACAAGTTTGTGTAATTTGTTTTAGGTGCAGGTGAATGACCCGATTTTTGACAAGCAGTGGTACCTGTTGAACACTGGGCAAGCGGGGGGCAAACCCGGACTGGATCTGAATGTAGTTGAAGCCTGGCAGCAGGGATACACTGGCAAGGGGGTTACTGTGGCGATCATGGACGACGGACTGGACTATCTTCATCCGGACTTGGCACCTAACTACGTTAGATAATTTAAATTTGAGTGAAAGCAGAACAGTAAACAGTACTTTGAAAACTTTCAGAGATCTAGGGCGAATCGCACACCAGTAAAACCGTTAATTTTCTTTCGTTTGTTAACCTCTGCGACCTCAAAGATGATTTATTTGGTGTCAACACAAAAGATACCGTACCAAAAACTCCCATGACAAACGATACCGAACCAAAAGATCCCATAAACTAAAACTGCCCAGGGATCTTTTGTCATGTAGCCAATTATTTACCTTCTGGTTAATTTTTTTTTGATGTTATTAAGTCTTTGATACGAACAGTACGTCATGAATCCAATTAAAAAGGCTATTAACTATTTCACCTTACCAGCGAAGCATTTTTTTGCTTCTGCGTAAATTGGATCTCGTTTCATTAACCCTAAAGCTTCAATTAAAATGAAAAAAATGAATAAATCATGTAATGAGGGAGTTTTGATGGTTTTGACGTAAACCTTGAAGTACAAGTACTTTAATTCGTGATACGTACTGTTAAAGCTGTGAGTTTTTTTTATACATGCGAGGCAGTAGCGATTTTGGATTCCATTTTTTGATCACATTTTTTTACATCCCATTTTTTCACCAAGGATCCGTTGTTTGTCAGTTTTGGTTTATAGTGTTGTACATATAGTGTTGTACAATTCCTTGTAGATATAGCTTTCAAATTTGAAGCCAAGCTGATTATTTGTGTTAAGTTTTACCCACAATTGAATCAGATTGTGTTGTCTCAGCCTTAATTTCGTGATTATGACCCCAAAAATTCAGAGTGACAAAAGGTTAACAAACACGCCTGAGACTGTGAACGTAATTGAGAATGAAGTGCGAACTCAATTGAACATATTTGATAATTCGTGAACTTATTTGATTCAAAGTGTGAACGATGAGTGAACTTATTTGATAACTTGTGTTGTGTGTTCAGAATGCGGAGGCCAGCTACGACTTCAGCAGCGATGATCCCTATCCCTATCCTAGATACACTGACGACTGGTTCAACAGGTAAATGCACAAAAAATTTAAAGTGTTAAAATTGTTCACAATTGCGATAGCAGCAAGCGTTTATTTGCGGATCTAAAATGTTTGCGTTTTAAGAGTTTGTTTAATTTTTGAGGTGCTGGTCATTTTTCAGAGATGTAACTATTGTTTTCGTACCTTCGACAACTGGGGAGGGGGGCTTCGATGACTTTTATTATCACCAGCTCTGATTGAAATTTTGGGTTTCCGGGAGATGAGGGAATAAAATCGGAAAAAATTTCGAATTTGTTTTAAAGTTTCATCATTAGATTAGCCGGAGTTTGCGAAGTGCAACTTTCGTTGTCGTGTGATGTTTCAAACTGCTTCCAGCTTAGAAAAAGGGCAGTTCATGTTGTTAAAATGGCTTTTTCGGAAATTGAATGTGAAAAAGGCAGGTTCCATTTAAATTTCCGGCATTTTCTTTCAATTTGTCGAGATAATTTACCTCCGATCGTTTTTTCAAACAAAATTTTGGGAGTTTGACAATTGCGAATTGGCCATGCTCTGGACTAATTTATGCGCACTTTGAAGATGTTGTCCATAGTCCTGAAAGCGTAACACGAAATATTTGTCCGTAGTGAATTATCCCGCACAACCAAGTTTTTCGAAATTGAATTGAGTCTAGCTAATGGGTCGTACTAATTTCGTACGACTCAAGTTTTCACAATTGATTTTTGATATTGTTCAAAATTTAGAATTTTGCAAATATTTTTTTAACCAAAAATCTATTCGATATGGATTAAGGTCAGCTTTTCCAAAAATCTATTCGATATCGATTAAAGGTTAGTCGGTCGGAACATTCAGTACTTTGCCCTAAAAAACAAGCAGTCTTGTTATTTAAACTGGTTGAAGAATGAGACCGCTAATTTTTGTGTTACTTGACATTGAACGAATCGCCGAAATTGGACACGTCGTATTTGCTATGAATTTTTGCTGAGTAATTTTTATATCCGTCGTTGTTTGTCAAAATTTAACCCAATTTGCACAAAACGTATTTCAGTAAAAATTTAACCCAATTTGCACAAAACATATTTAATTTGAATCAGCACTGCGTTCCAAACTTTCATTGCTGTTTTTTTTTGGGAAGTCATGATGAAGTGGTTCAAAAAGAGACCAGAACCCCGAATCTGTTTTTGTTTGGAAATGTTTTTGAAATTTTTTTCTAGTCAAAATCTTTCTGTATCTTTTTTTTTTGCAAAGTAATTTTTACTACCCTAAATTATTCAAGTATTTTTGTTTTTTGCGACGTAACATGCATATATCATATGGGAAGAAATACAGTTTGGTGTTGCGCTTTCTGATTTAAAAAGCTAACTTACTTGTAATCAAGAATGAAGTTTGTTTCTTTCAGACATTTTAAAAGTTATTTAAGATGTAGAAATTGTTTTTTTTATATAATTTTTGAATTTCAATAATTTCCAGGCCCCTACCTGCTAAGTGTAGTTGTGAAGTGCATGCCTGGTTGTGACAGGTTCCTAAGTTCTTGGCAATCTATATGTATGGAAACCCAAATTTATTCTAATTTAGTTTGACAAGTCGCATCATCGCGTTTTGTTTATTTTTCATTTACATTTTTTCCAAAGCTGACTTTTTGCAATGGAAATTTGCTTCAAAATTTTAAAATTCATCATTTCTGATTGTTTGATTTCTTTTTTTTTGCTAAAATGGTTTCGGTTTTTAGATTAGTTTAGTGGCTTTATAATGGGTCGCTTGAAGCACAAAACTTTTTTCTTGCTTTTGCACAATTGTTTTTTGGCAAAAAGAAGATTCTTTGAATACCAATGTTTTTTTTGTGAAAATATCAAATGTTTATCTTCTCCGACCATTGAAAATGAGGAGAAGTTTTGGGTGTATTTTAGTTTATTAAATTTTTTACCACGCAAAATCAGGGACTGCAAATAAGCATTGGAATGCGCCAAGTGGTACATCTTTTTGAAGTAGTTTTAGTCGTGATGCGAACGAAATTTAAACAATTTCAAAATTTTTTCCCATATTGAAAAAATTGGTTCGAACTGTTTGGAGTTCAGTCTAATTTCGAGCGAGCAGGTCTCTACCTTGAGTAAAACTGTTAGTTTTTCATTGCATTAAGTCAAATTTTTCATTTAGGTAGTGAAAATTTTTACTCGAGGAAAACTAGCTTTCGAAGCTTCATTTAGAGTTTCCTCGTCAATAAAATTTTTTAGAAAATAAAAAAAAAATTTTGCAAAAAAAGAATCAACAATTTTTTTCTGCAAAAAAAGAAAGAAAAATAATTTTTAACGCTCTCTCTGATGGTGTTTTTTTTCTCATCAACTAGCGTACAAAAAAACGGCATTTATTTGAAGAAAAAAATATATATGATGTCTGAACATTGTGTGTTACTTGCTCAGCAGCCGACTATCCTTGTTTTTTTTTTTTATTTAGAGTTTCTATCTTCATCTTTCTCCTCTTTTTTTTGGCGATCTATTTAAATGAAGGTCACCGCTTAATTGCTTTTTCGATCAGTTTGTAATTCCCCTAATTGAAATGAAAGATATCGCTGGTTTCTTGCTAACGTCATTTTTTCTTCTAACTTCCTTCAAAGCTATCCTTCTTGATTAGTTACCTCTCAAAAGTAGTAACTGAATGAACGAAAAAGAGTGAACAAAAATGACGGTAGTTTATGCTTGTGACGAATGCAAAGTTGAATCGATTACCGTCAAAAAGGAAGTTATGTTTTGGAAGAAAAAAGAAACAAATATTTTATGCATTGTTATTGGGCAACTTCTTAAGGATATATGTTTTTGGGGAACAATCTCCTTGAGATGTAATGGGGTTGAAAGTATCTTGTAACCGGATGTCCTTCTCTCAAGTTGTTAGTTTTGAAAAACCTTCCCAAATATTGCATAACTAGCATTGAAAAAAAGCGTCTCCCAGCAAAGAAGACTTTTTCTTAAAGAAAAGAAATGTTTTCACAGAATTCCGCCTCGAGTCACATATATTAATTTCAAGCCATTTATTTTTGACTTACGTTGAAGCAAGATATTGCAAAAAGAGCACTGCATAACAAAGTAACGGTCTGGATTGTTGCAAAATAAAACGGACTGTTCTAGACCAGGCCTGCAGATAGCTCCTCTGCAAATTTTTATCATTGGCAGATTATTCATGTCAGTTGATTTTTCTATTCCGAGAATGATTATTAAGTTCAAAAAGCCAAATTTTGTTTGCTTGCAAAAATATTGCATTAGCTAACTTTTCTGGCACTTGCACAGTTGCGTATAAGCTTAGGGGGTTTAAGAAATTAGAAATGACCAATAAATTTGAAAACCTGGCAACGCTTCGTGGTTCTTTAAATTGTTTTTTTTTTCAATGAATTTTCTTTTATATGAAGTTTCTTTTAGATCAAAGAATTAGGCTGCAAAAAGTGAAGACAGACTGAGTTAATTTGCAATAGCTCGCTATTTTGAAAAGTTTTTGAATGACAACCTTTTGGCTTAAAAAGTGACGAGAGGGCCTTGTATCAGATTGCATAATGAGACCTTCATAAAATTGATTGGCACCAATAAGGAGACGCGTAGTCTGGGGCTGAGGCTTCTAAATCAAGACAATATTCGCGACATGTAACTTCAGAAAATTGGGGTCCATTTTAGAGCAGATGCTGATTTTTGCATGTGTAAGGTGTACAATTTGATAAATTTAACACCTTCAATAGAATGGTATTTTAACGTAACTTATTTTTGAATGATAATATCCTTATTTACACAAGTAAAGCTTGTGAGATAGTATGAACTCTCTTTTTTTCCAACCTAAGTCGCAAATATTAGTGTTCATTTTGAAAGTGTCCATTTTGATCAATAACCAAGTATTAAGTACAGCAAATGATTAAGATATTAGCACAGACTATTATAATAGAAATAGCGCTTTAGCTTCAAGGATCTCTAGGGTAGGGAAGGAGACCCGCAAAAAAATAAGAGGGTTCGAACCTGGGCAGGGTCGGCTGTTTTTAATTAATTTTTTTCGTAAGCTAGTTAAAATGCGTCTGCTCTATAAATTGAGGCATGTTAGTTGGTATATTTCTTTTTTTTTTTCAAATTGACTTGTATTGATAATGCGGCAGAATTGGCTTGCATCACTTAGCAGTTATGTAAACTGATAATTGGCGTGCGTCATTAAGAAATTTTGTAGACCCAAAGTTTTACTCATTTAGTTTTTTCCAGCAGCGTTATCGACCATTTTTTGTGTATGCAAAGTACCACTTCGCGTTTGTGTTTGAAAATTGTTTTCTACTTAATTTTATATAAAAATTCGTCAATTTTGTATTCTCGGGTTGACCAAAACTTTTTTTCATCAATTTCTTTATATAAAAAACTTCTATACATTTCCATACGTACAAAAATTTTTATGAATTCTATATGATGAGCCTTTTTGTATGTCAAGTATTTTTTCATATGAAAATTGAATGACAAGTATTTTTCCATGAACCAAATATTTTTTTCCAAATTTAATTTCTGAAAATTTTTAGGTTGTGTTCGTAATCAAACTCATGTGACAAAGACCTTGGTTTACTCAAAGCTGGAGTCACCAAACGTTATCCGGTCTTGCGTTAACAATGCATAGAAAACGACCTGAGTTGTCTTAGAGCTGTCTTACACAAATCATAGAATAAAAGTAACAAACTTAAAAGCCTTGACGAAAACGTTCAACGATTTTTATCTTTAAAATTTGATTTTTTAGATTATCAGACATTGATCAAGGCATACATATACATAATCATGCCATACAGAATAAATTGAGTTTTTAGCGTTTTTGAAAGAAGTTTTTATGCGAAAAAAAACTTCAACCTTAGTTTATCCAGGACTACGTTATGCACACGAAAAATTGAATTTTGCATGCAAAAATGCTTTTTTGGAAAAGTTAAGTGTGAGTACAAAATTTGATTTGCAGTTAATATAAAAACACACAAAAAAAGTTTTTTATTGCGAAATTTCAAAATTATTTGAAAAATATTTTGTAGTCGCCATCAAAAATGCTAGTCATACAATTTTCATATATGGAAATTGGATGATTAGCGTTTGTTTCGACCATTTTTTAAACTTTTTTATGTAGTACAATACACCGACTTTTATGCCACAACACTTAAGCTCTTTGAAATTCGATGACATCATTTTAGCAAAAGGTATGGAATGTGTATGATTAATTTTTTCATAGACTTAGTTTATGGAATTGTATGAGTAGCATTTTCGGTCTATGGAGGTCAACCTGATTTAGTTGAATAACAATTTAAATATGATGTTTTAAATGTAACGAAGATCATACTCTCTTCTAGGCTAATGAAACCAACCAAAAATGCGCAAGGTATAAAATTCAGCCGAAATATTTCATCATTTGAATGAAACTTGCTTAACTTTTGTAACTTGTACATGATTATTACCCAACTAAAACTTAAGTGTTTTAGACTGGTTGATACTCCGGCTTGTTTATAGTTCAGCTGGTTTGTATACCACTATTATTAGGCGCCTTCAATTAATAGATACCATAGTTCATAATTTGAAACAAGAAAAGAAATCCTTAAATAAAATCTGCACTTGTTCTCGACTTTGTTAATTTTTTGTTAGCTCTAAAGCGCAAATGCTTAAATAAATTGAACCGCTGGAACTCAAAATCCAAGTCTTGTAGCATGCGTTTGCTACTTATAATGGCGCTTTTGAAGTATTCATAATGGTTTGCTGCTTGCTTCTAATCTGCTACAAGGTCGGTCTGCCAAAAAAAACGGTCCAATAAAGAACTAACCTTAAAAAGTTTTCTTGCAAAGTTTGGTCAGCTGAGTTTTGGTAAGAATTTTTGTTGGGATTTTCTTGGTTCGCACTGTTTTTTTTCGGAGACAATTCTCCTTGTTTTCGCTTGTCATCGGTTCTAGTGCATTGTGTTTTTTTTTGCATGGTATTAGAAGCGACGCTGTCATGACAAAAATGAAGTTATATTGCTCTTTATTTTTAGCCCTTCAATAGATCTGCTTTGAGAGAAAGTAAATCGAAGGGTTTCCTATTTCTTTGTTTGTTTAATTCATCGTTTTGTTTGTAGTTTGAATAAACCCATTCCCGTATAATTCAATTTAAGTTTAAATCGAATTATCAATAGGAAAAGCTTTTTAGTAGCTTAATTGAAAAAGCACTGTCGAAAAGTTGAAGATAAAAAAACGAAAATGGGCTGAAATCATGATCGTAGTTTCCTTTCTTTTGAAAATTTTCAGAGGGAAAGCGTAAGCCATTTCAAATTTGTCAAATGGCAGCTCAAAAAGGCGGTCGCTAACTCCCCCCGAAGCTTTAATCTTCAACTAATACACTTTGAAATCAACTCATTTTTCATACACTAAATGTGTTTCGTTAATTCAAAAAAGTGAAAAAGTCGATCGAAATTACAGATTAGTGGGAACAGATAAGCTATAAACTCTAAGCCTGAGTTCCCTGGAGCAATTAAATTCTGCAGTTGGTGATGTAAAGTTCAGTTTTTAAGTCCTGATTGCTGCCTTATATGGATGGCATACTTGGTATCAACTTCAGCTATATACCCGCGTGCTACTTCCGATAAGAGAAGATTTACGCTCTTAAGGCTGAGAAGTCGGTTCACGTCACAGAAAGGAAGCAGGCGTGAAATTAAAAAAAAATGAGAGGGAAGTTTTGTTGCAATTTTAACACCAGGTGAAAAACATGGACAGAAATTGGTCTGCTTTTTAACCTAATCTATCGTTTTATTGCTTTGGTCGTCTTTTGACTGTTAATATTGCAGATCGAAAGTCGCTCTCCTTCAGTTGGCTATTCGCATTCATTAGGTTTGAATACGGTCATGTGCGGTCAAATAGTTCTTTTGCATATGTGATCTAGGTGAATTTGCTAAAAAGAATTAGTCTAAACAGTGACGTAACAGCTATTTGCATGAATTAAAATTGAAGTTTATCACATTTTAACCCTTAATTTGCTTTTAGTTAATAACTGCTTGAAGTAGACAATGGTGGCTTTTCGAAACGTGACAATTTTTCCTAAAGAAATTGTTGAGAACAAATAGATTTAGTTCAAGTTGAATTGTTTTATCAATGCACACAACCTAGTGGTTTCTTTGTCAATTAATGCATGCCAATGATAAAAAGTCGTTTTCGGCTTTAATAACAAGTTATTGTCCGAATCCTGAAAGAAAAAAAAACTGATTTTGCATTCCCTGTTGCAGAAAAAATTTTTCTTAATTGTTCGTATCTTTCGACAGTTTTTAAAACCTCTGAATGATAATGATGCTTTAAGCTCTCAATTAAAATGATTTTCTACCTGCGAACGTTTTTTTTTGTAATTCTGGGGGCTTGAAAGTTCTTATATGGGATATTCATTGCGTGTGATTTGTCCAGTGTTCAATGGCTAGGCGATGAATTAATGAGGCCCAGAAAACAGTCCAAACTGGTTTGAGGCAAACTAATTGGACTAAGCAAGGCGTTAGTTGAAGCACTTAATATCCATTTGGACTTGAAGTTGCTTGCGGGTGAAGAATATTGTCTCATTAAAAAATTATTCAAATTTTTTACTGATACGTTTTCTCTGTTTCCCATCACAGATGGATTTTGCCCCCGAGTAACGGATTTTGCAAGGCTATACATGAAGACCAATTGTGTACCAAATTTCATAATAATCATTAAAAAATAGGTGCTTCTGTTTACTGTATAAGTAGCACCGAATGTTACATCTCAAGTAGTTTTTGCAAAACTTAAAAAAATTATATCTCTTTTGAATTTGAATCATTTCCGGCATCGAAAGGATACATAACTTAAGCCCCAACGAATGTCTTTCTGAACAACAAAATAAGTGAATGTGTTTTTTGTTTAAAAATGCTACTAAAAATGTTTAGGCCGATTACTATTGAAGCTCATACTTCTACGGAGCAAGTTTATTTTCGATTAGTGAAGCGAACAGAGATTATTTGGTTCAGTTTTAACGTATTTTAGTTCAAGTTGTCCGTCAGTTGTCAAAGTTACCAGTTAAACAGTGATAATGTACCATACAAATTTGAATCTGAACTCACCATGATTCATGCTCGATACTCGAGGGCGAGGCATCAACTCAGACCAGAAGCTTAAATCAAATTTGAAATAAAAAATCCGAAACTTGAAAGATGATTTGTTAATCATTCTGCAAAAACGCCTATGAAAAAAAACTTATTCAAAAACCTTGCAAAATTATGGCTATCTTACACGATCTCGCAAGATCTGTTTTACTTATACATAATGTTTTCAAGACTAGTATAAGATTCCTGTAATCTTTTACAAGATTCTTGTAAGCTCTTGCAAGATTCTTGTAAGCTCTTGCAAGATTCTTCTAAGCTCTTGAAAGATTCTTGTAAGCTCTTTCAAGATTCTTGTAAGCTCTTGCCAAATTCCTGCAATATCTTGCAAGATTGTTGTATGCTCTTGCAAGTTTCTTGTAAGCTCTTGCAAGATTCTTGTAAGCTCTTGCAAGATTTTTGCAAGCTCTTACAAGATTCTTGTAAGCTCTTGCAAGATTCTTGTAAGCTCTTGCAAGATTCTTGTAAGCTCTTTCAAGTTTCTTGTAAGCTCTTGCAAGATTCGTGTAATCTCTTGCAAGGTTGTTGTATGCTCTTGCAAGTTTCTTGTAAGCTCTTGCAAGTTTCTTGTAAGCTCTTTCAAGTTTCTTGTAAGCTCTTGCAAGATTCTTGTAAGCTCTTGCAAGATTTTTGCAAGCTCTTACAAGATTCTTGTAAGCTCTTGCAAGATTCTTGTAAGCTCTTTCAAGTTTCTTGTAAGCTCTTGCATGATTCGTGTAATCTCTTGCAAGGTTGTTGTATGCTCTTGTAAGTTTCTTGTAAGCTCTTGCAAGTTTCTTGTAAGCTCTTGCAAGTTTCTTGTAAGCTCTTGCAAGTTTCTTGTAAGCTCTTTCAAGTTTCTTGTAAGCTCTTGCAAGATTCTTGTAAGCTCTTGCAAGATTTTTGCAAGCTCTTACAAGATTCTTGTAAGCTCTTGCAAGATTCTTGTAAGCTCTTTCAAGTTTCTTGTAAGCTCTTGCATGATTCGTGTAATCTCTTGCAAGGTTGTTGTATGCTCTTGCAAGTTTCTTGTAAGCTCTTGCAAGTTTCTTGTAAGCTCTTTCAAGTTTCTTGTAAGCTCTTGCAAGATTCGTGTAATCTCTTGCAAGATTTTTGTAAGATCTTACAAGAATCTTGTAAGCTCTTGCAAGATTTTTGTAAGCCCTTACAAGATTTTTGTAAGCCCTTACAAGATTCTTGTAAGCTCTTGCAAGATTCTTGTAAGCTCTTGCAAGATTCTTGTAAGCTCTTGCAAGTTTCTTTTAGGCTCTTGCAAGATTCTTGTAAGCTCTTGCATGATTCTTGTAAGCTCTTGCAAGGTTCTTCTAAACTCTTGCAAGATTCTTGTAAGCTCTAACAAGATTCTCGTAAGCTCTTTAATAAGCAGTCTTGATCGAATGAGCGTGTGTTGTAGCCACGGGACAAGATGTGCTGGGGAGGTGGTGGGTGTGGCGAATAATGGAATCTGTGGGGTGGGAATCGCCTACCACGCCAGAATAGCCGGCATCCGCATGCTAGACCAGCCATTCATGACAGACACTATCGAGGTATGGCGCTTCAATGCTTTTCACACGAAAAATATTTCAATCAAATTTAAAAAAATTAGAGAAACTTTCAATTAAGAGCCAATTTTAATTTCTCTCCAATCTGAAAAGGTTTTTGTTACTTTCTTCTTTGAACTTAAATTTATGAAATATGAATTAGTATGCCAGTATCACTTAAATTCTGTATTTATGTTCATCATTGGAGCAGAATTAGTTGAAAAAAGATTAATGTTTTCAATAGCACAAAGATTTAGCCTGAATTTGTACTGCTTTGTGCTCTGTAATGCATTGTTTTGTGTGTGTAGGCGTTGTCCATGGGCCATGCCAGGGACATGATTGACATCTACAGTGCCAGTTGGGGTCCCACAGACGACGGGAGAACGGTGGATGGGCCGAGGGAACTCACCATCGAGGCCATGGCCAAGGGGGTGAACGAGGTAACCCACTCTTGATTGACCCCTTATCAAAAATCCATAATCATACGCCGCTTTTGTGGATACTTGGCTTGATTAGGGCTTAGAACTGCGCCTGATCAAGTACGGCACCCTAGATTGCTCATGGATTATTTTGTTTCGATGTTATCCAAGGTACTGTGATGAGAGTATGGAAACTCTGAAAAGTTCAGTACTGGAATCACGCTTTAAGATATGATATTAGTAGGTTTTTAGTCAAAGCCCCCCCCCCCCCCCAACTCTTGAAAGTGCTGAAGTTGAAACCAGAACTAGACACGGCATCTTGGCACTATTCGTTCATAATGAAAGACAGCACACTTACACTAAGATTTTACACTAGATTTATTCATATAGTTCAGTCAATTTTGAAGCTTAAATATCCTACTAGTGGTTGGGTTGGCTTAGAAAGATTTTTGGCTGGTTTCTATACATAACGCCTGCAGCTTAAAAAAGACCAAACCACAAACCAGTGTCTGGTTTTGCTTAAAAGCGAGGCTAAATACATTTGGCCAACATATAATAATGTCTTACACCCTTTGGAGTGTGAATAAACATCAGCTTTGACAAGAACATCTGGCTGTTTTGCAAATACAAAACTGATTTTAACTATTCGGACAAAACGAAAAAAAACCTAAAAACTAAAATGCGTTATTCTCAAGCCAAAGCTATCAAATCAATTGCTGACAAAAATAATGGTTTTTCTTATAGTTTGTTTTTCTTATAGTTAAGAAAAACTTGTTTTTCTTATAGTTAAAAATGACATTTTTTGGCTATTAATTAGAAAAAAACTTTCCTTTACAAACTTGAGAAGACAATTTTTTTCTTTACGCTTTCAGCAATTTAAATTTCCGTCCGAATCGATATTTGCTTGACTCATTGCTTGTAATTTTACCAGCTTGATTTGTTAAAATTTTTCTTTTCTTTTTTTTTCGTTTTTTTAAATCATGTTTTATATAGATGTCGGCCTAATTAAAATCGACTTAGTGACCTATTTTTGCGCCCTTACCTCCGAAAAAAAAATATGTATGCGTGTTTGTGCCCTGAGGTGATATTTTATTAAGTTCAGAATTTTTTTGAATTTCTTTTCAGCATGAAAGGTTTCTGCTCAGATTTTTGCGGCTTTGTTACCGCTTGATAATTATAAATTCAAATCTTATCCAACATCCGGTGTATCTGGAGTTTAGGTAAAACAACAAAGGTTGGGAAGACCAAGATTATCAATTCGAATCTGGCTTGGAGTGGTGCAAGTGGTGCAAAGCTCAGTTTCGTCTCTGTAAAACTTTTGTAAGGCTTCGTAACAGACTCACTTTGATCATCAACTGAACCAAATTTTTGGTGTCATTTCTTGTTGACTAAAAAAAGCTAAAAAGCTTCGTTTTTGGGTTTAGTTTGTGGAAGCATTTAAGCATTTCCAGTCTCCGATATATTCTGTTTACTTCACAAGCGAACTTGCGAGCATTGTGTTCTAGTGAGAGTTTATTTTTCTTAATTAACTCGCTTAAAAGAAGGCCCATTTTTGGTGGCATTAATGCTGCATATCATTAGCAATTCAAAAATATGCTTTCGATATGATTTATTAGTGGCTAGTATTTTTCTAAATCGAGCTCACATGGCAGAGGTATGCAGATATTTACTGGGATATATTTTTGCATTGTGATTAGCTCAAAGCTTCGGTTTGTCTCTATGTTTTAAAAAAAATTAACTGAAAGGAATAAAAAAGCTCTCCAACAAAAAAAAATGTAGAAATAGCTGCTAAAATATTCTTAAATTTCAAAAGTGGATCTTAATTTTTTATTCATCGGCGAAATAAAATTTTTTTTTATTGGTTTAGTTTCAAAATCAACCTTTTTCAAAGGCTTCCAAAATAGCTTGAATGTAACGCACGTTTATTCTGTCGACACGTCTTCTCCCATCCTTTTCACCAAAAAAATCAGTTTATGAACTAATTGATTAATTTTCGCTAAAATTGATGGGAAGACGTGTGGACAGCATAAACGTGCGTTTCAGGCCCTGAAACGCACTTTCAAAGTTTAGATTACGACCGAAAGGATTTTTAATGGTTTTTTTTTCAACTTTAATTAGCTCCCATTGTGGATAAGCCTGTGAGATTTCCCTCAGTTTGAGTAGGGAAAACGGTATTGTAAAATTCGAATATTGAATTAGATATGTTATGTAAATAGATAGAATAGAGTAATAAATAAATGATTAACGAATCCAGAATTGAAGTATTGTTTTAATATTTTGATGACTAGATTTAACGCTTAAGGCTTTCGCAAGTGACCACCTCAGATTCTCAAGTGACAAACGATTTAGCTGGTGAGATTTGTCCTTGAATCAATTTACTGCACTATAAGTAGATAATTAGGACATAGTTAGATACGACAATAAATAAGTAAATAGAATATAATGAGGTACCGAAGGTCGCCTCATGACACTTCCCCCTCTAGAAAAAATTTATCTCAGTATAAATTTCGGAATGAATCAGGCAGAATGGGGAGAAAAAATTAAGCACCATATATGATCAGTGGTAACCAAAATAACAAGCCAATATAGCAAAGTTTTATAAAGTTTTAAAGTTCAAGAAGTGTTGTCCAGCTCTTCGATTCTAATCTTCTTAAACGGAGTAGTTTGCTCCTTAGTTCTGGGAAACGGCACCTTTCGAACAATTGGGGTGAACGGCGTAGTGATGACTTGAACGGTGTTTGTTTGTAGTGATGAAGGCTCTGCAGAGTTCGATTCAGTTACACTTTTAACTGAATGGCGAAGAGGATCTCCATAAAACCTCGTCGGTTTCTTGTACCCATTAGGTGACCTATTAAACTCACTCGAAGATTGGGAGGTAGGATTGTCGACCTCCAAATGGCCAGTAGCCGCGGTGTCCTTTGCTGCTGTGTCAGAAGTCTCTGGCTGATCCTGGGGTGTTGCTAACGCCCCTGTAGGAGATATCAAGGCGGGATTAGTTGGAGGGTCGATGATCGGAGCTCCTGATGTATCGATCACGGGAGCCAATCCTTGAGGTGTTGTAACCCATGCCTCCACCAATTCTAGCTGAGGTCCAGTGATCAATGAGTCCTCGCTTGATGACTCTGCTGTTAAGTCGATCACCTTGCCCTTTAAAGATTCGTCTGTCTGCCGTGTAGCTGGAGTAGTAGATGGTTGAGACTGGGGCCGAGGAGCAATTCGTCGCTGCAAGCGTTCACCCACTGTGCCTGGCGTAGCTGAAATTTTAGGGTGGTTAAAATTATGTCTTAGGCTTAAGTGATTTTTTCGGTAGACTTTCCCTCTGTCGGTAATGTAAGTATGATCCGTGACACGAGTAATCTTGATTTTTGCTAGTTTGAACAGAGGCTTTCCCGATTTTCGATCAAGAACTTTCCGAAAGATTTTGACTCTTAGAGGATCTTGTAAAACTAATTTTTCTAATTTACGCGTTTTGGAGAGTCTTTTGGGCCTCGAAGAAGACGACACGTTCATTCTCTGTGAATGCGAGAGTGCTGGTGCTGACGTATCGCGGGCGTTATCGTAAAAGCGTAGGGTCCCCTTTGTGATCCCTGATTTAGCGAGTTTTCGAGGTCGCTATTCCGAGCCGCCAATTCACGGAGAAGATCTTGTCCTAGTTGTGGAGGCACATTCCGTTTCCACTGCTTCCAGGTGTTAGCTGCCTTTGCAAGGTTCTCCAAGGCTTTATACGGTTGACTATCCGCTATACGCTCGCCCACACCAAAGAGTGGCTTGAATTTAAAGGGGATTTCTGGGCTGTGTGACGATCCTCTGGGTACAACTTTAGCCCTATCGCGGCTGTAATCCTGGCTTGACCGTTGCTCCGGGGTTAGGAGGTTCCTTTCTAGTCCTTGCGCTGAAGTAGGAGAATGAACAACATTATCACGTGCTAATGAAAACTCAGTATTGGGCTTCCTCCCAAAGTGTAACTCAAACGGGGATACTTTTAACGTAGAATGCTTAGTTTTCCGAATATCGTCGATAATTTGTTGTAAAGTTGACTTCAGATTTTTAAAATTAGGATCTAATTTTTCTGTTCCTTATTTCCGTTTAATGGTCTGGATCGATCTCTCCACCAGCCCACAACTCCGATGGTCCCCCACCGCTGTGAGGATGTGTTTAATGCCTCTCATTTTGCAAAATTTTTTAACGACGTCAGAGTGAAATCCAGAACCGTGATCTGTCCTAATGCTTTCTAGTATGCCATGATTACGAATATATGATCGCAAAAATTTGACTATTTTTTTCGCACTGGTTGATTTAGTTAACATCACCGAGGGGAACTTAGAAAAACGATCTATGGCGACTAAAATGTAGATATCCCCTTCTTATCATCTATTAACGGACTCGCGAAATCAAGTTGCAATTCTTTATTTGGAGCTGACAACGTTGGTAACGGCTTAGCTGAGTTATAAGTCGCGGAAGTTTTGATGTTCTTACCAAAAAGAGTACACTCCGGGAATTTTTCGCAGACATTGACAATTTGGCGGTTAAGAAATGGCCACCAAATATACTCCGAGGCGTCCATCATGACTGCTTGGCCTGGGTGCGAGCGATGAAGTCGAATCAGGCTAGCACTTCGTAACTGTTCGGGTATGGCTAGTCTGTTGTCTATCAGGACACAGTTGTTCACCTCCGCCGCTTTCGTCCAGAATTGGGCCATGTACGCCCCCAGTTTGTTAAAGGATTGCACATCCTTGTTGACGATCGCAGTTCTCATCGGTCCGAGGAACGGGTCTTCCCCTGTCAGCTCTCCCAACAAATCCACGTCGAACAGTCCCGGCAATCCGACCACCTTCTTTTTGTCCTGTGTGACCAGCGGTTTGTGGTTATTGATGGCTTTAACCCCCATTCGAAGTGTCTCTCCTCGTCTGGCCTGTCTCGTGAGCCGCTGCCTCCGGCACTTATCAAGGAAGTGAGTGAGGGCCTTTTGCGTCGTTTGTCCTCGAGTAACAACGAAACGTTCTAGAGAATGTCTCTGCCTGGCAATGTTTCGGGTACGTATTTGATTAATACGGCTCGGGCGATCCATAGGGCGAACTGTAGATAGTCTGGGTCTTAGTTGACTGGAGGTGCGAAAATTAGGGGAACTTGTAGAAAAATTTTCAACAAAATTGAGGAGATTTGTTTGTTCGATCGTATTATTTGCAAAGTCAATAGTATTAGTAGAAGTATTTGAGTTCTTGAGAGTAGAGTTAAGAGTAGTATTTTGAGCAAGATTATTTGAAGTATCCATATCGTTACTGATTTCTAAGTTGTAAGGTCGGAGGCAATGAGTTTGAGCAAAAACTTCCGGTTTAGCGTATCGCATTTGCATACTGTACTGTGATTGGTCGAGAGTACTAGAGCATCAAAAGTCGACCTCTCGCGGCAGTGATATATACTCACGATTTTGCATACGAGCATATGATTGGCTAGTTGACTGAGAGCATGAATGAACGCCCTCTAGTGGCGAGGGATTAAGACAATCAATTAGCATATCCTCTTGAGATTGGTTAACAGATACTATTCACGAGTACTATTCACGACGCCCTCTAGAGGCGACGAACTGAACTGTTTGCAACAATGTGATTGGTCAGATAAATCAAACGTTGATTGGTTTGTCGTATTAGTTAAGAGGTAGCTAATTTCGCCTCTAATTTCACCAAACGATCTGATTGGTGGAAACTGGTTATAATTTGAAATTTGCCCCACCGGCACTACTTGAGGTTTGGATTGAGTACCAATCAAATTTAAAGCATTGTGAAAAGCTTGAATATATTTAATGACAAATAATTTGTCATGCGATGATGGCAATGGTGCTTCAAAAGTCCGGTATCTAGACATATTGTCTACGATGCCTAGGGAGGAACCGGGTATATGTTCGATTTGATAGTCGAACGGAATGAGGCGGTCCGCCCAGCGAGAGAGAGTCTTGACTGATAAGACTTTTTTCCATACGTTTCATTGAGGGCGGAAATGATGGCCTTATGATCGGTTAGAATAACAAAACGTTTACCAAGTAAATATGTACGGAAATGTTCGCACGACCATACAATAGCCAAAAGTTCTAACTCATTGGTACTATACTTGATTTCCGCGGAGTTTAGAAACCTAGAGGCAAACGCAATCGGGGCCCAAACATTTGGCTCTACTTCTTGTTCCAAGCAAGCCCCCAGCCCGCTATGACTTGCATCACATTTAACACGCGAAGCTTTCGAAGCATCGTAGTGAAACAAATTAGGGATGTTTGCGATGAGGTTTAAGATCTTCTGAAAGGCAATAGTTTGCTGTTCCCCCCAAAAAAGGGATTTTTTATTCTCCGCTTTTAACGAAGCTCTGAAAACGACCGTATATTTGTGCAAATCTGGGATGAAACGTTGAAGATGATTGAGAGTACCCATAAACGATCTTAACTGTTTAAGAGTTTTGGGTGGTAACAGGGATTTGATTGCCTCTATTTTTGAGAATTTCGAAGCGTAACCGTTTTCATCGATTTCATACCCTAACCAGACTAGCTTGTTAACTGAAAACTCACATTTACTAAGTTTCAACGCCCATCCTTCTTCATCCAATCGATTCATTACTCTTTCGACTAGTACGTTATGATCTTCAACTCTTCCTTTAGTGACAACCAGTATATCATCGAGGTAACATATGACACCTTCCAATCCTTGTAACGTACAGTCCATCGCTTTCTGAAATTCCGTAGGCATGTCCGTCAGTCCGTAGAAACCAGTCTTGAATCGATATGTACCAGTTGCCTCTCCGCACAAAATACTAAAGTTACAATGACTACTGGTCAGTTCCGATAAAGGTAATTGACTGAAAGCGTATTTAAGGTCCAGAGAAGTAAACCACACCTCCCCAGGTGTGTCTCTAGTTATGATTTGAGCCGCCGAGTCAATCAATTCATGCATATTAGGCATTTGATATTTGTTTTGCCAGATTTGGGCATTCATAGGTTTAGCATTCAACGCGAGTTTTATAGACCCGTCTTTCTTTGCAGTTAAGACTATGGGTGCGATGAAGTGATCCGTAGTACACTTTTCTAACTTTTCAATGTGCTTGTCTTTAATTAACTTTTTAATCTCAGCCGCGACCCGATCTTGTAAATGTATAGCTATCTTGTTATGTGGGAGCAATTTCTGAAATTGTTCTGATGTTTTGGCCCCTTTCTCATTCTCCAAGGCCAGTTGTAGAGTATCATCAAGATTGGCTTTTGCTCTGATTAATTGCCTCTGAACCTCCACATCACGAATGCGACCAATAAACAAGTCTTTCAATGTTACTCTTTCCTGATCAATCGGCCAATTACACAACGCAGTTTGAGCGCTAAGTCGGGCGTAAAATGATGAGAATGAGTCATTATCCTGCATGAAAATTGTATTATACAGCTTAATCCTTTCGACTGTGTAGTCCCGCTCTGCCTTGAAAACATCCTCACAACACTTGTGAAAATCAATGAAAGAACTAGTATTGAGGTCCAAATGAGGGTAGGAATCCAAGAATCGTTTTTTCCCCTCATTTCCCAATGCGAAGAAAAGTCGCGATTTCAAACGTGCCTCTGCCTCATGGTAACACCAGTTATGTCCAATTCGAGGTCCTTTCCTTCTCCTTTCTTGATTTTTCTCATCGATTCTTCGATTAGCTGCTGCAATTCGGAGGTTCCTTTGGCCACATCTGCTGCATTTTCTTCAGCACTCGGTGCTTCGGGCTTTGGGTAGGGTTCATGCACTAACTCTGCTGGGGCAACTAGTAACTCCCCCGGTGAAATGTTGTCTTTGAGACTCACGGCCAAAAAAAATTGTCCTACCCAAGTCTCCCAAATGAAAGGTGAGTTTACCGATGTTCTCGCCCAAAAAGGTGGTATTCCGAGTAGGTCAGTCCTGTCTTCATTCACAGGAACTGCTGGCTGCACCATGAGATTTCCCTCAGTTTGAGTAGGGAAAACGGTATTGTAAAATTCGAATATTGAATTAGATATGTTATATAAAAAGATAGAATAGAGTAATAAATAAATGATTAACGAATCAAGAATTGAAGTATTGTTTTAATGTTTTGATGACTAGATTTAACACTTAAGGCTTTCGCAAGTGACCAACCTCAGATTCTCAAGTGACAAACGATTTAGCTGGTGAGATTTGTCCTTGAATCAATTTACTGCACTATAAGTAGATAATTAGGACATAGTTAGATAAGACAAAACATAAGTAAATAGAATATAATGAGGTACCGAAGGTCGCCTCATGACAGCCTGTGAAGTTGGCAAAAAAGAAAAGTGATTGAAAATTTAATTGTTTCCAACTGTAATTTGCACAAAAAAAACATTTCAACCTCTTCTTAACGACATATTTGATTGACATTTAATTATTGTCACTGTCAGTTCGAACATTTTAAGCTGATTTTCACTATTGAAGTCGTCCGTTTTTTCTACCATTTAAGCAAAATTCTGAACAGGGGACAAGAAATCGGACGTTTTTCGAATCACTGCCGCAATTACTATTTTTCACTTCAATGGTTAATTTTAGAGTACATTTTCTGTTTTTGAAAAAATTCGCTCTAGTAACCACGGAGACGAGGTTAACAAATGATTGTCTATTTTTCAAAACTTAAGCTATTTTTTTGGGAAAATCAATATTTATTAACCACGAATTTAAAAAAAACATGATTTTTATTCGTATCTGCTGAATAAACGTAATGTTTTTTGTTCCAGGGCAGAAAGGGTAAAGGGAGTATATACGTGTGGGCTTCGGGAGACGGGGGCAAAAATGACGACTGCAACTGTGACGGATATGCATCCTCCATGTGGACTATCAGCATCAACAGGTAAACTCTTTTTTGCTAATTAAACCTCGTACGCACCCATTAAACAAGCCATGGCATGACGAAACGTGCCTTTGTTTTGGACCGAACCGCTGTGTCGAGAATCCGTTTTCAGACTGTTTTTATGGCGTATTGCAAACTGCACTCTCAGTATGTTTTTTTTGACATCGAAAATTTTGTTGAGGCAAATTTGGAACTTATTCGAATCTCCTGGAAACCAAGACAACGGCAAAAATTGACGAAAACCTGTGTTTTTTTTTGTTGATGGTTATGTTCGGATCTTGAAAACGATGTTTTTTTGTAATTTGTGGTCTACTCAATTTAGTGTGTCTTCAATGTACGAGGCATTGATTGCTTGTGGCTCAATAACTTTAAAGTAAAGGATGCTTAAATGTCTGTTCCTAATAGTTTTGGTAGTGATAAACAAAAAGTGCAGTTTTTGAAATCATGACCGACTCAATTTAAGTGTGTTTTCAATGTATTGCAGTGCTATCAATGATGGTCGGACTGCACTATACGATGAATCCTGTTCCTCCACCTTGGCCAGTACCTTCTCCAATGGGAGGAGTCTCAATCCAGAGGCAGGCGTGGCCACCACGGACCTATACGGAAACTGCACTCTAAGGTACCATCATACATCCACATGAACATCGTTGACTATAGAAGTATGCACTTTGCACTGCTTCATAGTAATCTCAATCAAAAGTGAGAATAAGAGAAACAACTTCAATTCAATTAGCTTACACTAGCCACTGGCTGTACGCGCTGTATGGATTAACGGTAACGTTGACCTTGAAAGTCATATGACGTTAATGTATATAATAATATACGTGTTCTAGGTTCATAGTATGACCTTTACTCCACATTGCCCAGACAGTCTGATAAATTAAACTGTTCAAATGATGCGATAATGACATGGGGCAATGAGAGTTTGCTTACTAAATGACGAATTGATTGCAATTTTTACTATGAGCGTTTCAAACACATTGTTTTTTTTTAATTTTCGAAAATACAACCAAAAAAACATAAATTTATGAAATACTGAAAAAATTTTGTGCAATTAATAATTTTTAAAACATTTTTGTCTCTTCGTGCTTCAAATTTTAATTTCAAAAGTAATAATTGAGGAGAAAATAGTGATTATCCATGCCTTATTTTGTCTGTACAATAGGAACTGAGACGTCTTTGAGATGTTCCAAATCTGTAAGGCGCTTCAGTTCATTTGATGAAATAATGACGCAGTCCTAAATTTAGGTCTGATAGGCTGCTAGACAGATACAATGAACAGAACTATATCGTCAAATTGTGACATCAAGTTCGCATTCTGAATCGAAATTATATTTGATCGAATCTTCAGGCACTCCGGAACGTCGGCAGCTGCTCCCGAGGCCGCTGGAGTGTTTGCTCTGGCTCTTGAGGCCAACCCAGACCTCACCTGGCGAGACATGCAACACCTGGTCGTGATCACTTCTAAGAGGAACAAACTGTACGATGAGCTGCACAAATGGAAAACCAATGGGAGGGGATTGGAGTTCAATCACCTGTTTGGATTCGGGGTTCTGGACGCGGGTGCGATGGTGAGAGAGGCAGAGAACTGGGAGACTGTGACGGAGAGGTTTCACTGCACGGCAGCTTTTACATCCGAGTCAGCATAGTGAGTCATGCTTTTGGGGTTGTTTTACCATTGATCATTTCAAGTCTGTTTTTTTTTGGCGACGATGTCCTCGCTCGACTTCTAGCTTCATGTCAAGTACAAAATGATTGACTCCGGCTTCAATATTGATAAAACACGGATGTAAAAAGGGTTTTTCAATTGGCTTATTTTACTATGACTGTCGAATATACCTAATCCTCAGTTTTTGTTCTGAGCCTTTACATTAGCTTTTTTATGCTTAATTTAAGCCGTTAAAGTCTAGTCTTACTCGAGTAAAATAAGTTTTTGGAATTTTTCAAGCTGTTGTGGGAATCAAAAGCTTCGAAAATTCAAAGAATTTCTGCAAAAAACTTTTAAAAAACTTTTTTTTTTGATTTTTCAATACTTTTTTTAGTTTTTCTAATCTTTATTGTCAATTTGCTTACTTTACTATGACTTTCTGATGGTCGGAACTTTATCTGATACTTGCTCAGAGTAACCAGCTATTTTTTTTGTAAATGTAGTTTTTTTGAAGTTATTATTTTTGTAAAATCAAGCCAATTATAAAAAACAGCATTTAATTTGCGAAAACGCCATGGACTTTTGCAGCTCAGTTTTTGGGAGACTCAGAGTCAATGAGGCGCCTCTGAACGTTTAATTATTTCGGAAGTGGAAAGAATTCTTGACAATGAATGCGATTTCATTTGCAACCCTTTCTAGCCCCATCCCTCCCCCGGGCGAGATTCTGACGATCCAGTTGAGCACAGATGCGTGTAAGGAGCAGCCGAATGAGGTGAGGTATGTAGAACACGTGCAGGCCATCATCAGTGCCCGGGCCACTAGGAGGGGGGACATGACGATCAACATGACATCCCCCAGTGGCACGGAGAGCATCCTACTCGCAAAGAGACCATTCGACGACGACAGCCAACAGGGTCAGTACTGACTGCTCTATCTGTATATTCCAGATCTCTATCTGTATCTGTGCATTATGTCAATAAAAGGTGTTGTATATTCCACGTATATTCCTGATATATTCCAGGCATTTTTCCAGGCATTATGTATCAAGTGAGCTTTTACGGCAGTTCAAAAAAGTTCAAAGTTAAAAAAAAAGTGAAAAAAGTTCAAAGTTAACCTAGTATATTCCAGGCAACATGTCAGTGAGAAAAGTAGACCGAAAATAATTATTCAAAGGGTCATTCATAACTGATGGCAAATGACTCTGACTATTCACAATGACAAAATCATGTAAAATTTTGATGTCAGATCTGTATCAACAACCTCAAAGTGTATAACAGTATTAAGTGTGATAAAAATTTTCGTTTCTGTTATAGGCGTTGATTGTAGATTGACTATTGTTTGTAAAATGAAAAATTCTTAAACTCAAGAATTGTGAAAGCAGGTATGATCGGCAGTTGATTTTTACCAGGGAAAAGTAATAATTTAAGCTATCAATATAGGGCTACATTTCAGGATTCCAGCAGTGGCCCTTCCTGACGACCCACACCTGGGGCGAGAACCCTGCCGGAGTGTGGACCCTAACGATTGAGATGAAGTCGGACGAAGAAAACTACCCTAGTCACGGGGAACTACTCGAGTGGAAACTAGTCGTCCACGGAACCCAGAAGGACTTCATCTCCCAACACACGCAGGAGCTGCAGGAGAAACGAATCGACGCCATCCTGGCAGACAAGAAAGATCACATCGACGCCTGAACATCGAAGAGTTCACACGGGGTCGCTTCCTTCGATCATAATCAAACAAAACAGACTGTGTAGAGTCGCCTGGAAAACACTTTCCCGTCGTTTAACTTCTCGAAGAGCTGATTCGACTAAACCGAAATAGTTTGTGCGAAGTAGCTATAAAGATCACTAGAATATATTATGAATGAGGGAATTAATTTGAAATTGCAACCAATTTTAGTTTTCTTTTGTTGAAGCCGAGTTTAGCTAGAAATATGTTCAATACACTGACATTACCCGCATCCAAGTTTAGGCGTAAGTAATCGATTATAACGGATTTTTATGATGATTTTTTGACAATTATACTTGATTATAATAATCAAAATTAGGTGTTTAAAAGATTTATAACTGATTATAATCGTGATATTTTCCAAAAGACTAAAATCTCTTATAATCGATTATAATTGATTATAGTTCTTGCAAAAAACACTTAAAATTAATTATACTTGGTTATAATCTCTTATTTTGTCGAAACTTTGTCAATTAAAAACTATATTCGATTTATTTCTGATGGGTTATTATTTTTGTGTCAATATGAAAATCTCTAAAAGAGAGATCTCTTGAACACTTTGGTTCATCTGAACACAAAATTTTACCACCAAACAAAAGTTTCATAGAGTGATTATAATCGATTATTAATTGATTAAAATCGATTTTTTCTCAATTTTAGTAAGACTGGTACTAAAATCGTAATATAATCGATTATTAACGCTTGATTTTGGATGCGGGTGGCGATGGGGCCTAGGAAATTAGACGATAAGCAAATTAGACGGGTGCTACAAAAACAAAATTTGACGAATTATCTATTGCAGATCTGGCTTTTTAGACGAAAAAGCTACGGAAAGGAAATAGCAAAAAAAGTTTTTTCCCAAGAGTCAAGATTCACAAATACAAAAAGAACATAAAATGTCACATTACGAGGCCAAACTGTGCATTTTGTGCATTGTAAGCGCATTCCGCAACAAGGACGCTCCCTTTGTTCTTCTATTGTTCTTTACTTTCCTTTGATCGTTCCGACAAAATTTAACATGTTTAAAGACTTGTCTCTGGAATCCAGGAACATACAGACCCAAAATTGTGCACCTATCCAGTGCACAGTTTGGCCTCGTAATGCAATACTTATCAAAACAATTAGTTTAAATGAACATAAAGTTTCAATCATTCTCACTTTCGTCTATTTTCTCACAGCTGCAGTAATGCAAAAGTGTCTAATTTTCTTTTAAGTTAAATACCTCTGTCTAATTTGCTTATTGTCTAATTTCGAAATCCCCGTTCGCGATACTTGTACACACCGTTCGGGGTTTAGGAACTTAGACGACAGGAAATTTGATGATCAGAAAATAACAGAATTTAGACAACAACTTGCGTGCAAAATGCGTGAGACTTGTTTACAGACTTAAACTATCTTTCGGCTGAGTAAATACTGTTTGTCCAATTTAGACTAATTTGCGTGCAAATTGTGTGAATTTTGTTTACAGACTTGAATTAATTTTTGGCTGAGTAAAATTTGATTGTCCGTAAATTCCGTTTAATTACGGTCGTCTAATTTGCTTGTTTAATTTCCTATGCTCGCAACCGCTCGTAGAAGATCAAAAGCAGAGACTTTGTTCATAAAAAGGACTTTGACCTTTCAAGCAGGCTTTTTAAAGTCATTTCCCCAGCAAAGCTCTTATTGCACTCAAATAACTACTCTAATAGCTTTTTAACCTTCGAAGCTTCGTCTTTTAATTTGAGTTTCAAAGCAGACTTTGATTAGTAGTATTAGCCGCGCAAGATAATCCGCTGATTCAGTTTTCGTAATTCACGAATGTTTTGTTTTAAATTACGCTTGAGATTAGCAAGTGTAATCAAATCGGAATGTTTTTTTTTTCGGTTTAACATGGTTAACAATTTCAGTTTAATCACTTATTATGGGTGGGTACTCGCTGGGTGGGTACTAAGTTAATAGTAACTATCGGTTGGGTGGTGTTACTACAGAGTAGTTTCAGGGGGAAATAAAAATTTTAACAGTTTCTCAAAAAGTCTTTTTGCAAAGTTTTTTTGCGGCTCAACTGGCCTTTGTTTAAAGATTGTCGGCCTTTTTTCCGCTTTTTTAAATTGCTCAGTTTCTAATTTGAATTTCAGATGTATTGCTTGGCATGTTTGCCTAGAGTTCCTGTTCCGTAAAAACAGGTATTATGAAAACTTTTGGGTTTGGGTGTTTTATATTTTTCTGAGTCTCGTTGGAAAACCCATAGAAAAACCTCCTACACCCTTGTGTGCCTGCATATTCCCCTGGTCTATTTTTGCCTTACTTTTTTGTCTACAGCCTTCGAAAACCTGTGGTATAATATTTGAGCCATATTTTTGATTTTTTTTCTCCATTTTTCCCGTTTTCTCAAAAAATTGACCGACCAACTCTAAGACTTTTGTTTCAATTAATACAACGGACTTGTGAAAATCTCCTTCATATGCGGCTACGTTCAAACTTTTTTTACACATGAAATTATGGCCATCGTGAAAGTGAAATCGAACGTTGTTTGAGTTTTTTCGAGTTTTCTTATAAACCTAACATCCCAAACCTAATCTAATTGTTCAATGGAAATAACAGGTAATTTCAAGCCTCCTGCATTAGCGGCCACTCACAAATTTTTTACACAAAACAATTTTTTCTTACAAATTGAATTTGTTAGAAAATCTCAGTATTATTATTTTATTGACCTTTAATCGTAAAAAACACGTGGCAACTTGCGTTGGGTTGAATTGATTTAGAAATGGGGCATATAACTTTCCTCAGGGGGATAGTTTTGTCCTCCTGTGTTTGCAAAGGGTAGGGACACTTTCCCTAGCGGTTGTGACTACAGTGGGACAAAATATAAGGCCGGGGTATACGATTACTACTATCCTGGGTTCATTTATGTACCATAGTTTATGTCGCTTATTCCGTTAAACATAGTGTCTGAACCTGCTTCTTAATTTAACTGTTCTAGTTTATAAATTTAATAGGACTTGTTGATTTTTTTAAAAGATTTATTGACACTTACTTTATAAAAAACATTGCTCTGTATCATGGTTTCCGAGCTTCGATTTCTTCAGATAATTTATCATTCGATATCTTTTAGTGTTTAACACGTATTGTGTTTATTTCGAGACTCTTTTCCAGTTCCCCCTTTCAAAATATCGAGTTTGATGTTTGTTTTACTGGTTATTACGGCTAAATGCGTGATGTTACGCGGTAAGGTAAGAAGAACATTTCTGTTCAAAATTGTCGACTTGTTGACCACGCCAAATTTCATTGCATTATGACAACGTTAATTAGACTTTTCAGAATTGAATTTGGGTTATGACAACGTTAATTAGACTTTTCAGAATTGAATTTGGGAGGGGGGAAACTGGAAAAGAGCCCACTTCGTCAGTTAGCATGTTTTTTTTTTGGATATGTAGTTATTGAAAATCATCGGTTTTTGATTGTAAATTTGTTAATTGAACCATGATGATTGATGATTAGTTGATTAATTGAGGCCATTTTTGGTTTCTTAAAAAAGTGCACAAAATATCAATCAGCATCACAGCATCAACTTTTTTTTACAAAAATTTAGTCTGCGTTACTGATTGTGCATCATAGTTGAATTTTTTTTTTACACCAGTTCGAAATTTCCGATGAGTGTTCTCTGAATCGATGCTGACGAAAAATATTGGCTCTTTTCTTTTTCCCCTCACCTGAAGTTTTTCAGTAGTAAAGTTACTGTTCACATTGTCCGATCGTTACGAAAATTGACATGCGGACTAATTAGGCTGTTCCAAACATATTTGGTCTTCATAATTAACCTTGTAAAAACCACTCATTACACCATAAAACTGATGGTCGTGGGAGGTGGGGGGAAGGAAAAAGAGCTAAAATATTATCTCCCAGCGCAAAATTATTGTTGAAACTCTATTAAATCGCAACTGAAAAAGTTGTGTATTATATATTTTTTTCACTTATAGATGGCTGTTTTTATATCAAGGCTAATCCACGCAAAAACAAACGGAAAAAACGCTCAAACGTTTTACAACATTTCGATGATTCAGCGATATTTTTTTGTAAGTACAAATGAGGTAGATAATTTGATGAACAGATTATGATAGAGACTGATAATTCTCTAGACAAAAGGATACACGTACCGAAGTTTCAGGGATGAAAATCGATTACTTCCTTGACTAAAGTTTTGTCTTTCTATCAGTTATCGTGGCAAACTTAGTAACTGAATGCACTTCAAAGCCATTATAATGGATTTTTTTTGAAAAAAAAGAGAAACGTTTTACAATCCAATCCTAGAAAACTTGAAAGCTCGGCATATTGGTTATTTGCGTGCGAGGCTCTTTTCCAGTCCCTCCTTTGATAGATTCTGAAGTTCAAATTATGAAAGTCTATTTAAAATGACTTTTCATGTTATAAACTGCGTTAGAACGTGTCAGAGTGAACAGGTGAACAAAATTGTACATCACTTATAACATGTAAAATGCCATGTGAGCAATTTTTGAGAAGTTTTATTTTAAAATTTTATGAGGGGGGTGGGAAACTGGAAAAGCACCGCGTGCGACAACAAATTAACTCCTAACTTAGGTTTTAAACTTTTGTGAACCAAAGTCAAAGACTCTTAAGAGCAGGGTTAAGCATATACACTGATTTCTTATAAAAACGCGATGGGTTTAAGAAAATTGTAAAGAATGGGACAACAATGTAAATTTTCAATTATTTGTTATTTTTTCTCAATGAGATGAAATTCTTTATCTGCAAAGAAGCTAGTCTGAATATTCGCATTTGGACAATTTAGTTTCATTCTCAGGGAAGACTTCTTGGTTCCAATCGCATTTAGACTAAGTGCCGATTGGACTAAATCCGCCTCCAACTGTTCCTTGTTCCAGTAACAGACGCATCATGGCCTCGTTCTCTTCCTTAGTTTGCTCTTTCACTGACTCACTCCACGATCCCCTCGATTCAACATCAACTGGCTTTTCCAACTCTCGAGGCTGCGTGAAATAACAAATTGCCCATTAAAATCACAAATTCCAAAGTTTTTTGAGTTATGAGTGGAATGAAATAACTTAATGCTCTTGAAGAAATATTCTGGCAAATTTATGATTAGTTTTATCAGTGACGATGCGCACATGTTTTTTTAGATTTTAAAAATGCGCATGGTGCAGTTTTGATAC